CTACAGAATGCTTAAAGCACAGTTAATGATTCATGCCATTGCCAATGTGAAAACCCACTCTAGATTCACCATTCTGAATTAAGACACATTCCCCCAACGCCACCTCCAGTGTACATGTACCACTGTGTCTTCCTATTAATAATTAGGGACGACCATTTGATTCTGAGGGGGGGGGGGGGGCAGATTTTGGAAATAAATAATCTGTCCTCAAAAAAGTTGAAAATAAATAACTGTCTTTCCACGACCGGCAAGAAAATAAATAATCTGTCCTTGACTATTACTTCTTATCCCCCCCCCCCCCCGTCCCCGTTTGAACTTTTTTGGTTGTTTTTGTTTTGTTTTTTTTTTTCAATGAAGAAGAAAATAAATAATCTGACCTTGATCATCTTGAAAATAAATAATCTGTCCTTGACTGGCATGAAGATAAATAATCTTACTCGAAAAATTTTGCCAGACCCCCCACCCGAACCCCCCCCCTCCTCAGAATCAAATGGTCGTCCCCTTAATCGATTCAGCAAATTAATCCAATAATTTAGATACCTCATTCTGTGGTTTATGATAGCTACAGCGCTAGCTCACCTATCTTTTTAAAAGATAAGCTTGTTATGCATGTATACTAGGAAGCAAACTACATGTACATATATAACGTTACATGCATGTAGTGACTTTATCACAAAGTTGCACATGCGAGATCGGTTGAGGCTGTGGAGCATCACTGAATATTTCTCGTCATAGAATAGAATCCGACATTTAACAATTAAGATAGATTTTGAATATACAGACGTTTTGAAGATAAACTTCGTTTTTGTTTCTAGAAATGTTTTTATTTACAAAAATAGAATATTTTCGTGTTTTTAAACTGAGTAGATCGATTACCTAGACTCGTTTTAGATAACTCAGCCCCTCTAGCCCAGTCTAGGGCTTGAGTAAAAAATCTGCACTTGTTATGAAACTGGTGAATAGTTCTAAACTTCTTCATGTCTGTAGCAAATATTGATACCCAGTCTACATGAGCTAAGCGTCACTAGGGAATGGTGCACACACCTGTTCTTGCAAGACCAAATAGCCTAGGTCTACACACGTGCGAAGATCCTTTCCGACGAGCTCGGAAAATCACGTTGCTTAGCCGAGAAGTTACGATTGCAGGTGTTTAGCCATAATAACCATTCCGTTATTTAAAAAAAGAGAAAAAACACACACAGTTAATGATTAACATTCTAACTCAAAAGAAAATATAAGGCAATTAACGAACAATAATCATGACAGTAATATAATTGGTGAAAAGATTTATCATTATCAATCGAAGTATGACCTATATATTTTCGTGAAAAAGACTGAGGAGGCAGCGAGCGTAGGAATATGAAAACTTTTTATTTGCTTCTCTGGGGAAAAAGTGATTTTCTTTCAATCTTTTTACGTTAATTTTGTTTTCTTTAACGTATTAAATATACAGCATTATTCTTAACATTTGTTGTAATGTTGTATCTACTGATCATGAATGGAACTATTTTCTTCGGAGCAATTGTGTGAAGAGTACCTGACTTTAGTAATATATCTTGAATAGATAATATGCACTGATCGAATATATTAAAAAGGTGGACTAAGAAGGTCGACTGAGCTCTAAACAGTAGAGTGGTATCACTTAAAGAAGCCAAGATATCTGGTAGCATTGCTTGTTTACTCGGAGGAAGTCGGCACTGGGAGGATTCCGGAATTCAGCTACGTGGATCATTAGATAAAATGGACAAACAGTCTAGGTGTGGCTGGCAGGCATTAAATCGAACACACCGCTAATCTTGGGAGCATCGTAGCATACACCTGGCTTCATTAAGTAACATTACATCCACGATCAGTACAAAGGGATATTGTTTGGGGAGTTCAAGTTCGAAGACATATTGTTTGGAGGATCTAGATTAGAATTTCTTTTTTTATAAGGAATTTTCATATAAAAGCTTTATTGTTATTTTGATTACACAACAAGTCATGTAACTATAAAAAAAAAATTATCAAAGGTCAGCATTCCAGTTCCTTTGTGATAGTAAATGAAGAAAAGGTGTTTTTTTATGATCATAAATTAAAAACTCCTCCCTTCAATTTCTTGTTTTGTTTGATATAGACATGATTTCCTTATACAACAATATTCTGAATGGAAGCAGTTATTATATACCATTGGGGTTGTAAATCAGGACAAGCCTGGCATTTTATTTCTGGCTTTTACTATCTATAAGTATTCATTTTGAGGACACTCATGTAGTTTTGATAAGAAGAATTATAACAGGAAAACAATCATTGGAGATTATGATAGGGGGGATAAGAAATGCTGTCAGTTCCTATCAAAATAAATTCCTCTATCATTGGAGATGATAGGAACCCAGGTCGATCAACGATAATAGGGGTTTTAGGGATATACATACATGCTTCCTGGTTCAATATACATGATCAATACATCAATCAGTATTGGTGTTTTTTGGAAATGTTCCCCGTTGACTGAGAAATTTATAACCCAGGCTAAAAAAATACTTGTATCTTCTTCAAATTTAGTTTCTTGAAAAAAAAACCCCAGTTAATGCTTTCACCAGAGTATGCCTTTTTCTTATCCAGAATCTTTCATCACAAAATTTTGTTCAGGTAATTAATTAACTGACATGAGTCATATGACCTTGCCATAAATAAAATTTTAAAGGTGCATGTGTCTTATGTGCAGGAAACACTGTAAGTGTCTAAATGTGTAAAGTTGGGGCCCACTGATGGACAACATTTGGTTAATCATATGCAATGGGAGAATGAGTAAGACATGAAAAATTTTTCATAAAAAAACCTGCAAGCAATGCAAAAAGAGAAGAAAAAAAATATATCCTTGATAAACAAATGTTGAAGTTGATGTTTACCTATGCATACTTTCACTGAAAAGTATTTTATTTGCCGTGAAATTCATGAGACGGAAAAAAGCGGAAAATGCAGTGACTGTCTAGTTTTGTAGCTGACTAATATTTTTAGTGCGAGTTGATGGGCTCTGCAGTTGTCATCACTCCACACCTATTTGGTCATTGGCTGTACCTGGACCAAGGTCTTCTCAGATCTACGTCAAAGATTCCCCCATCTCTTGGAGAGTCCACTATGATGAGGATAAATGTAGGACTGCCGTACAAACACAGTCATTGTAATGTTTACCATAGAAAGTGAAAATAACCAGCGTTATCTCAACTGATGGGTAACAAATTAAGAGCTTGCAGGTAAACCTCTCTCCTCTCTGTAATTTCTTGCCTTTTGCTTGTCCAGTGGTCGCCAGCCTAGTAATTAATCACTCTTTGGGGACCCCACCCCTTTTTCCAAACTTTGGATTTAGGATGGCAAACCAGGTGGGATATGGTTAAACTGGGTGTGCAGGGGAGACCCAATACTAACATGTTTGCCATGGGGAGTAGTAGTCTCGAGCTGGAGAATTTGGCCATCTCACAGCAAGCCTCCGAACTCAGCATTGCACACTGGGTAAAGGTCTGTACTACCTCCAAGTAGTTGACTACTGTTCTGCATCTCGGAGAGATTAATCCTCTTAGATTAGAACTTTTTATGGGCATTATGAAAGATAAATCTTTGTGCCTTCTATAATCCTTTTGTAATCGACTCTCGAGTTGTGTAATGGGAATTCATAATATGATATGAGTTATGACTTTTACTATTTTCATCTCTGAAAGTGCTGAAATATTCTAGATTGCTATAATTGTAGAAAACATGTCTTGGTAGTCACCTAGTTGTAATTGAATGTTTTCCTTTTTGGGGTGTGGTGTAGGATGCGATAATTCGATTTCCTTTGGTGATTGACAGAACTGTCTTGAGGTTTTTTAATGACTGTATTTCATTAGAATTCATTGCAAGGTCTATGTACATCACGGGATTTCTCTGTCTTCAGATATGGATATGTTTTCTGATATCACTTGTTTCTATGGGTATTTTGTAAATGGGTAAGTTTTTGAGGTCAGGTTTTTTTTTTTTAAATTATGTTAATTCATTTTCCACAATTAAAAGTAATTAAGATGCTAAATTTCATTCTCAAGTTGTATGATTGCAACTCAAATGAAAAAGTTGTTCTTGTGTATGAAATTTAAACTTTCAGGGAGAGGATCGTTTAATTATATTTATTTTGTTAATGTTGAAAGGAAGGAAATGTTTGAAAACTTTAATGATTCTTTAGCCTTTAATGTGAGGAACATTTCAAATAGTATAGCACTGTAACCTTTCCTTGTTTACAAAAGAACAATTTCTCCATTGAAATAATAACTTTGACAACCATCTACATGCTAGTTTTTATAATTCATATCTAAATTCCAGATCCACTTGATGTTTGGTTTTCAAATTATTCCTCATTATATGTAAATTGAAGATGAACTTTGGCAATAATTTTCCAGTAATATGTAGACATGAACATAATCAGAATTTATGTGTCCGCCAGTGTAGATATGTGATTATACTCCCAATTAAAGTGACACCGTTCATCCTTTAATACAGTGAATTGCTACCTGCAGCCATAAATTTAAAGTAATCAGATTTGAATAAACACTTAGCATTTTGGAGAGGTTTGACTACATAAATATGACAAGGTTTTTTTGCCCTGTCAACCACCGGACAATTTATGTCTCTCCCACACAAGATTTCGACTTCCTCTAGTGCTGCCAGTCGTAACAGCCAAGGATTTCTTCTACAGAGATGAAAATGTTGGGTAATTATAAGACAGAGAGAGAGAAAGGGAAAAAAAATGCTCCTTATGACTGGCTAGCATGAGGGTTAATATTGGTCGCCTCTGCAAAACATGGTCTTAGTTTTGCCTCCGTATTGATTTTCGTCCTTTCTTTCACTGATCATCACAGCCATGTCTAGTCTGGCATGGTTAAACATTTAATTGAGTTACATGGTTATTACATGTCTAATTTTTGCTGAAATGGTTTGACCTTAGGTACTTGAGGATATTTTATACTTGTGATCTAGAAACAGTGAGTCCTTGAGAATGTTTATACTGCGGAGTTTAGCAGGAAATTGTTTGTATGTAAGGTCACCATGTCAGTCAGCAGTTGGGTGTAGCCTGGGAGTGGCTAGTGGGAGGTGCTTCCAACAGCTGTTGTAATGTATATGCAGAGGGAGGAAGATTATTTCTCACAACGGCTGGTGCTGATGCAGTCTGGATTCTTGTAATAAGTTTGAGCTCTCCCCAGAATTCTCATGGTGTGGCACTTTGTGAAGGTATTTATGTATGTGAGAGAGAGCTAGAAAAAGAGAAGGAATATATGATTTATGTGCGGTCGTCTGTGTGTGTGTATTACAACTATATCTGTAGGGTAAATAGACATGTTGTATGTCAGCTGTTCACTTGTTCAGAGATAATATGACTAGGGGTCATATATTGACCCAGCCGAGACACACCTACCGATAGGTTTTCCACTTGTACTGTGTTTTATCTCGGTGACTTTGTACAAGGTTTAACCAGGGAGGATTAGCTAGCCTTCCCTTGGGATTGTAGTTGGTATGTTTTTAGCTTGTAAAGGAGATTATAGAAGGCGTTTTTTTTTCTTTTCAGTTCAGGCTTTACTCTATACTCTTGGGAGAAAAAAAAGACCAACTCACAAGAGATTTACTGGGAAGGGGAGGTTTTGTGTATGTGAAACTGAGGTAGAGCCAGCCACTGTAATGTAGGTTATAAGGATAAATTATGCAGTTAACTTTCGTATGTGTGCTGAAGTGTAAAGATATCTGAAATTTTTTTTTCCTTTTTGTGTGAAGTCAGTCAACTGTTTTTTCTCTGTATTTTTCAAATGAATTTTGTATTAATGATTTATAATTGTGGGTCTGTGTTTTATTGACTTGAGGCACTTGATCACACAATGTGACGGATCGCTGTGATTCACTTAGTACTTGACTTGGTACCTCTCGGGGATGACTTATAAAGTGTGCTTTGTTGTACCACATACTTCATAGACCCATCCAGAAAATGACATGCACTTATTAGCAATATTTGTATACATTACCTATGTCCTTTTTTGACCTAAGATTTTGAAATTGATATTTTTTTCTTTGCTGAAATTCAGGGAAGATAATGAATGAAAAAAAGAAGAATACAAAGAGAAAAATAAGAAACAAAATAAAAAAAAAATCTTGTGACTGAATATTGATATGAAATGAAATAATTGCGGCTTATTTATACCTTCCTAAAACAATATTATTACCACCTAGTTCCCTATCAAAGGATTTATGAGATGTTCAATCTTCTTCAAAAGTGCTCCATCTTTATTTTGGTAGTTGGTGTAATATCTGGGTTACTTGGTTAAAGATCAATAAAGTGATCATTCATAATTTGAGAGATATTATGTACTACAGAGGTGTAAATTGATTTATATTTGATATAAAATTTGTGATGATGTTAATCAATTTCATCAATCTGTCAATTATTTTGCTCAAAGGGGTGTTCATGATGTCTCTAACCTTGAAAAATGTTGCATTTATAGAAATTAATTATGAAGATTATTTTTGAAATCAGCGATTTCCTTTCAAATCGGGGGGAAAAATATATCAAGAGTACATTTTATGGTAAGTTTTGTACTTTGCCTAATTTGTTATTTCCTACTTTATATAGGAAGATAGATAATATCTTGCTATGTAAGGGTGTGTTTCATCCTTCAGGACACAAATTTGTCATATTCCATTATTAATTACCTGACATCACTTTAAAATTCATTTTCTGCAAAAAGTTTTTTTTTTTCCAAGGCTAACCAAAGAAATCTATAATTTATTTTAAAAATACATTATACATTAAAACCCTATGATTTTGTTAAGAATTGTGGTTGAACTTTTCCCTATGGAGATGGAGAGCCATGATAGACGTCTTTGTTTAAGGTTTCTTGTTTTAAAGTTACCGCGGGTAAGAAATTAAGCCTTCAAAATGTCTGAGAAACTATATTTTTTGTCCCCAAGTTCTAATTAGTTGAAGAATACTTTCCTTTGGCATCCTTGAAATTTTTTGATAGGTTAATGTTGTCAAAAAAATTACCATCTGATTTGCATAGTATTGTGTAGCATTCATTTCCTCTTTTTTTTTTTTTGTATTTTGGTGGACTTGTCCATGTTAGAACAGATAAATATCAGAAAAGTTAAAAATCAAGTCAATTGGGTCATTTCTCTAACTTCAAGGAAAGGATCAGAGTGAACCATACATATGTATGTGTACAGTGAATTTTGATGAATTGAGCTGTCAAAGAGCCATCAAATTTGAATCACTCGGCACAGCTTGAATTTGTTTGTTTGTACTCAATTAATGTCCTATAAAGTGTTTTTCAAAAAAATTCAATGCACCAGCATAGTGGGATTTCAGAAAATGCTGTATTCTGAAAGTGATCTAAATCATTATGATCCTTATTTCAGAGTCAGTACCATATGGGTAATGCAAGCTTATGCTGCACCAAGAGTTCAGTTTATGCTAACCAGATTTCAATATACATGTATTATGATTATGTACGACCATTATTTATCATGGAATATGTTACCTACGGATTAGTATACAATATGCAAATTAAGACACACATAAAAAAAACCATCCATGTTTGTGTGAAGCTAATTAATGAATTGTCAATGATTTGTGGAGGACTTGTGTGACAGTTATGTAGAAGTTAACAGCTTTAAGTACCAAAGTCATAACAATAGGCACTTAGATTTAATACTTGACTATGGGATCTCATGTATGGCTGTCAAATTGGAATTTTCTGAAGGTACAGAGGGAAAAGAAATTGTTTTATTTTCTGTAGAATCAGAAGTCTATTCTTGCTCCTTTGACTTTCCTTTAAGATTTAAATCAATTTTAGATTCTAAGATCTATACTTAATGTATTTTATGAGTCAAAATTGGGATCAGATTGCCCAGTAAATACCATATTGTTCAGTTTAAGATTTCTTCAATGTAATTTACCTTCTTTTTCAGATGTCGGCCATGACAGATGATGGTGCACCAATGGTACAGCAATTCAAACATACAGAAGATTCAGACATTAGTTCCTCGAAGTCTCCATACGGGTCATCCGAAGGTTCTCCACCAAGATTAGACGACGAAGATTCCAACGATGAACCACCTTTTAAGTGTGTTAAAACTGAGCCAAGCAGTGTTCTGTACCGTGATTCTCCCATGCCAATAAGCACTCAGATACCGTGTGGTTTTCAGTTCAAACTTGAAAATCCTAGTCCAGAGAGACAGTCTCTGTCAGATTTGAGCCCGAATTCTTTGGACTCTTCTGTTTCATCCAATGGGAGCCTAATTCCTCAGACCCCTTCACCTAACTCTCCCGTCATCGGAGAGGAGGGCATCAGTGCTTTTACAAAAACTGTCCCCAAAACATCAGAACAAAAACTTGCACTGATCAAACTAAGTCAGATTAAGAGTGCATTCAATTATAGATCTCCCAATAAACCCACATCTATTGGACAAATGTTTGCTCTGAAAAAACGAATAAAACAAGCCCAACTGAATGGGGATGTCAACCTGACTGCTAACTCGCCATCCCCCCTCACAGACGGAGAGATGGTGAACCGACTGTTATCTAAGGACGGGACAAAAAATGGAGCCAAGGTCAGTCAACATATTCTGAATTTTCAAATGTAAATCATGATAGTTTATTTGAAAAAGAGGCAAGGAGAAGAAAATATGCACTTTGTAAATGTGATATTTTTTGCATCATGTGGAGAGTGGTTTAACTATGTTAACAGCCCAGTATTTCAAAATGCAACTATTGATACAGTTGAAATTGTGCATAAATCTCCAAATGCATATCGGAGAATTAATAACTGAACAAGTCCAAAAGTTATTTTTGCTTTTGTCTAATGTGAAAATCTATTTATTGAAATGAAAACAGTAGTTTATAGGTAGAGAACCAGAACAAAAATAGTTCATTTGAAATTAGATTATTTTGATTGTTTAAAATTTTGATCATTTGAATCATTCCAGTTTTAAAATTACACCAAGGAATATGTTCCGAAGTGTAGGTACCCCCTCCCACCATTGCTCACTGATAACAAAAAACATTCATAGTATATGCAGAAAATTTCTTGGTGAACAATGGGTTTTTATGGATGTATGTTAACATTAAAAGTCTATATGCATGACTTACCATTGGTGTCTGGTAGACATTTTCGAGTTTCTTGTAATTATTTATGATAGCCTCAGATACTGCAGATAAGAATGTCTACCACTGGCTCTGTACATATGGTGCAGAAAAAGCTTCTACTGCATATAAACCTTCTAGTACATTCAGTTACGCAAAATTCCATCCTCGATAACAAAATTATGTCTCTTTTGAACAAATTATTGCTTAATTTGATTGTCTCAGATATTGTGATATTTGTGGGTTCTTTCTTAATTTTCTCTCTTTTTTGAGATAGAATTCAGGTATTTTCAACCTATTTATTTGGTGAGTCCTTATGTGTACTTCCTAAGCTGTCAAGGTGTCTGATTTCATTGTTATGATTTTTTTTAATTACTATTTCAAGATATATTCTGTCTGTGTATCCTAGATCAAGAAAGAAGCTGTGGTATACTTTACTTTGTGATTATCGTGATGCATCTGGTTAGAGTTTAGTTCCTTTGTGAGTGCTATGTTTTTCTGTGCGGACTTCTATTCTTGTCATTGATTGGTCTTGCTTCTGACACAGCGAGGCGATCTTTGACAAAGTTCCTCTACGAAATGCATGTATTTCTCAGTTCTCTCTTACTCACTTTTACACCTACTGCTCCCAAAAGACATGGCAAATAATGGGAAATGAACATTTATGGAAAAACGGATATTGATCTTTGAAATCTGATGTTAAATGCATTAAATATATGTAGTATGAGGAAAGAATTTTCCAACAAAGGCATTATTTTGTTATTCTGCTCTCTGTGCAGTTGATATTGTGTAAAGTATTTGCATACAACCAATGTACCAGCGGTGTCTATCCTTCAGCAGGTCGTGGTTTTGATGCTTTGTGTCAAGCCCCATTAATGCATCTTCCTGGTTAAAATGTGGGTTTCCTGTTCGTCTAGATCCCGTGAGCAATTTCCGACTTCAGTGACTGGGTGTGCAAGGCTCTTGTATAACTTCATTACATTTTATATCGGCATCATAGGTATCACTGCATCTGCTTACGAGGTTCAAATCCGGCAGAGCCCAAATCTGTATACCAATAGCAGAGATTAAGTCGGCTTTTATCAACCACGTTGATAATACACATAGATTTCTGCCTTTCCTGTCAATAGATTGGATGAATGCTCTTTGATTTTACAAATGGTTAAAGGAACTAATATTTCAATTTTTTTGCCTAGAACATGATTTATGCAATGTATCAATTATAGTAGAAGTGTAAAAGATTATGAAATCAAAGTATGTCATATAGGAAATAAACTACACATCATTTACTCTGTTAAGGACATATGCAACGTAGTTTGAACTTTATTGTCTTTTTCCCTGGAGTTGAAGAGTTCCAATACTTAAAGGAACTGTGTGCTGCATTTTAATGTCTATATATTCTGTTGTACAATTCTTCTTAAACAAGTTTGGATAAACAAAGCATCTAGAATATATGTTCAGTAATTTTCATATATTTTTCTTTGAATTATGCAAGAATTTTCATCAATTGATATCTTTTTAAAACCCCTGGTAATGCATGCTGATTTTTTGTCTATGAACATCTGATGGCACTATAATCTTAAATTAAGAATATCTTGAAAAATTATCAGTAGGTAAGGTACGTTGCATATGTCCTTAATTTGCGAAATTTAATGAGTACCGAAGCAACAGATGTGGAAAATTTTAGATTTAAAAAAAAATAAGAAGTTAAAATGCACTCACATACTTGATATTGTAACCAGGTAATTGCATCTAATGAAAAATTTGAAAAAGACCAAAGGCAGTTTTCACTAGTTTAATGGTTCATTACCACAATGATTAACCTGAAATCTGTACTTAAAAATGATGTCTCCTTGTTCGAGGTTACACTGCAAGCCATTACAGTAGAAAAATACCTGTTAGAGATACGTTAGTTGTCAAATTATGTAGAAATTACCATACTGAAAATGTCACCCACAAGCAAGTCGACAGTATTCCAGTTGTGGCATTGTTATGCAAAAGAGGGAAAACTTATGGAGTGATAATTTGCTTAAATACAGCTCAATGACAAAATTAATGCTAATGTAGCGAATATGTATTTCCTGTGTTATCTTGTAGGACACTCTTGTTATTGAATACCTATCGGTTTGGGAAATGTGTTTTAAAAGTGTGGGGGAGGGGCAGATAGTTTTGGAAGAATCAAGGAAAAGATACATGAAACCGAAATTTCTAAAAAAAAAAAAAAAAAAAAAAAAAAAAAAATTTAGGTTCCACTTCCTCTTAATAAAAAGGTTAAGAATTTTGTTTATCACCTCTTTACTTCAAATCGGTATCATCATTTTCTTATCAACAGTTGTGATGTCACAATGGTTTTTGCATGAATGGGATGAAGTCAAATAAAGTGGATTCATATATATATAAAAAACAGTGTAGAACAAGTCATACTATGTGTAAAACGTGATAAAAAGAATCAGTCATGATCTGTGGTTGGATATGATTTTTATCCAACTTTGTGTGTTTTCTATCCCCTCACCAATGCAAGGCTCAAGGATAGAATACACACAAATTGTTGGATAAAAATCATATCCAACCACAAACCATGGGAGATCCTATATTTATCCAAAATTTCAGCAATGATGAATGAAATATACTTTGTATAACCTTACGGTATACAAGAAGTTTTCCATTAAAGTGTTGATGGCAGAACTGGTTTTAAATTTGTAGAGCTGACAAGTTCTACAGGTCGTATATGAAGGAGATGGTGTTAGAGATCAAATAAATGAGGTAGAAAAATGGAGAAATTTAATACCAAGAAGTAATCTGCTTTTGCAGAGGAAAACATTTAATGCTTTATCATAATATCAACAAAGACCTATCCTGAATTCGACATGTAATATGTATATATTTAGGTTTGCAAAAAAAATAATGTAAAATGGAGATAAATTTAATCGTACCTTGTTGATAAAAGGAAATGACTTGTGAAACTGGTGAGAAATTTTGACAATCATGAATGTAGATTTTGGGATTTGAAAGAAGTGGTTGGGTTACATCAGCCAGGGAATTTTATCAAAAGTGTCAGAGATGCCTGCCTTTGCATGATCCCCACAGCAATGATGTAATTCTGTTGCCATGGGTGATGGCAGAAGGTGTGGCGGGCCATCTACATAGATACCAGCATAAAGATTTACTTGCTAGATTTGCACGTAGCGTGTAGCATACAGGACCTAAGGCCATTAGCAACAAGGTCCAATGTACAAAGAACTAGAATTGTATTTATGCTTTTTTTTTTGTTGACCTACGAATTTGTGAAATTGTCAAGTATATTGAACATTGCAGCTGTGCTCAAAATATCTTCCCACTGAAACATCATGTAAAGAGGTTTGAAACCGATAGAAATATATGTGGGTGCCTGGAAGCTAGCTCGTTTCATAGTAATGAATCAGACATGCAGCATCATAGAAACGTTTTGGTGCATTAGGTGTGTGGGTTTAAAAAAAAATCACTGGTGCCTGTTCAAGGTGGGGTCATGGTTGAAACCCCCTACTGTGGTCCTGATTGCATTGTTCTGTGTTTGCACTGATTGCTCTGCATTAAGTATCAGTTGTTATGCTTCACTGAATTTAAATAAATGCGATCTCCAGGAGAGTTTTCTTATTGTTGCAAAAGAGATGCTTAATTGCTGATTTAAAAGAAAAATTCCAAGTACATTTCTAATGGCAGACGTAACAAACCTCAGTAAAGTTTACTGAACAATTGAAATTATTGTTTCAAGAGTTGCTGAAAAGAGTAACTGATAAAGAGGTTCCCTCAGACAAGTATTCTGGTGACGGTGTCGATGTACTGATTACTAAATACGCAACTGTGTACTTTTTAAGGTTTTGTTTGAGCTCATTAGGTGACATGGGAATTTAAACACAGTAGGTGACATGGAGAATTTAATTGGCAGAAAGTCAGGGAAATTGTCTCTGGGGGTCTCGACCTTAATAAACTTTAAAGGAACTCGAGGCGGTAATATCATGTTTAAACTCTGTCTGTGTGTAGAACTTATTTTGGGGATTTCCCATAGTTTTCTTTAAGGATCCTTGTAAAATCTTAATCCATCATATTGCAGTAAACCTGCCAATCCTAGAGGTGTCAAATATAAAAAACCCCATAAAACATAAATTTTCATGGAAAAATCTTGACTGTCAATTCAATTGTATGAAATTAATACAACACTGTACTGATATCTTGATAGAGTGTTACATGAAGAATTGAGCTTGACATGAAATACCCTTTAAATGGATCCTTGACTACCCAGTACCACACCAGTGTTTGAGATAAAGGGAAATTTAAAATAAATATTTTTATATCAATGTTGATAACATTTCCTTGACCTCAATTGAAGTTCTTTCCCCAATTTATTTGAAAATCAATAAACAATATTAAGCACTGGGGCCTATATCCGCCTCTTTTTAGTTAGTTAATATCTGTACCCTTGAGCTATAGGGATTTTATCTGATAGAAATGGAGAAAGTCATGAGAACATAAGGGATTTATTGGTGTCTTTTTGTACAAATGTGTATATGTATAGCATCTGATGATATGATAAAGGATCATATCCAAGTTATATAGAATTAACTGTTTCTCTGACAGTTTTCTCGAACTATGTGTCCTTGTTTGTGTGTGTCCTCTTTTTTTAAGCCTCTCTGCAATGATATTAGAAGGTCTGTATTTACGGAGGGCACCGTAGTTATAACAAAAATCCATGTCAAGTGACAAGTATGACATCTACTTGAAGCCATGTTACCGAATCAGAAAAACTGTCCTGATTATCAATTTCCATACGTCAAGACATTTTGAACTTTCTTTAATTTCAAATTCAACAAAGACCTCATTAGCAGCGATGAAGGTGGGGGACCTTAAATGTCTGAGAACTAAATGGTTGATCATTTTCATCTGAAAAAGTTTTTTGTCATTGATCATTTAAATGTATTCTTAAAGAGATGCATCGTCTATAGAATTGCGGACTAAACACCGTGAGTTGGCAGAATTTTTTTTCTCTCTGTGGGCCAGATCGACTGATAAGTCTATTACCAACATCTTTTGTGCGAATATTAAGGTCGTATTTACATGAAATCTCCGAACTTCAATAACAAAGGTGTGCAGCCCAGCCTCGTACACACCCACCAATAGTCTATCTAATCTGAGTAACAGAAGCCGTCACAACTCAATGCCTATCAATCCATAATATTTTTCAGCCTTCACGCCTTCTCTATGCCTCACCTGTGGAGCATTTAAAATATCATATTTAAAAGGCATTTCACTACGTTGGTGTATTGTATATCAATGCATTGTTGGAATCAGAAAATCAATCGGAGAACCAGGGGGTCTGTAGTCTATTGAAATCGGTGCAGTTTAAATGTTCCACTCACCCCCTGGAGAGACTGGGTGAGGTAGTATTTGAATTTTGATCAGTTGACGCCAGTCATTTATTCTAGTATACCTAGCCACACTGTCAACATCATACTCTCTGCCCAGATCGAATTGGGTGAATTTTTTTTGGTCCCAGGCCATCCGAGAGTGACCACAGATGAACATATATATTGATTTTTGAGTTTGAACAATTCAGAGTGATACAGGCATTTATAGTTGATATTGGAATTATATTGTGATCACTTAAAGATTCTTCTTAGTGTCAACTTTATCAATTCTGTGGTATTTAAATTCTGCTGGACATTGACGATTTGTTTTTAAGAGGCTTGTAAACTTCTCCAGAAGTGTTGAGAATTCGTAAGGAATTGTCCAATCACAGATACCAGGTCTGCAATCAGGAATCCAGAGGTCACTGTCATAACCAAAATTATCTTTTGGAAGGAAAACCTAAAAATAGAAACAGAGGAATCTGCAAGAAGTTTAAAAATAGAAAAAGTAGATCTCAGGATATTTATATATAGACCTCATAATAAACTTCCTCAAGTAGTATCAAACAGTATTATAGTTACAATCATCAAGATGCATCTAACATACTGCGAGGAATTCCACCCCTACCCAGAATACCCAATGTTCGGGATGCCCCCCTGTATGGGTTGCAGTCAGTCCTATCTGTACCCCTGGGTATGTATGCTTTTACCAAGCTATATAAGCACTTGTGTTCAGGAATTGTTCCATCTGTCCCTCTTTTTCTAGATTTTATAACTTCTTTTCTGAGTTGAATCAATCATAAATGATGAACTGTTCCAAGTTGTTAGTGATAATAGAAATTTTTGTACTGAACTACCAGTGGTTTGTTTTTGATTAATATTTATGTTGAACAAGCAAGAGTTACTAGAAATAAAGATTTGTGAGTTAACCTTGTTGCTAATAATAAGCATTTTTAAGTTGTTCAAACTTTTCCGTGTCATTATGTAATACCTTGTCTTTGATCAAATACAGACCATTAGGATCAATATTGCTAGTAAGAAGTTCTAGCTGCTTCTTGTGAGGTTCTGAGTCACTTTCCCCAGTTCTGGTATTGACAAACCAGATGGGAAAAGTCCACTATCTTTCTGCATTGCATGTACTTGAACATGCAAATATTGACAAAAGGAGTTTTTTTTTCTCTGTGCTGGAATACTAGTACATGTACATTTTTTTTAAATTCTTATTACCTTTTTTTATTGGTGTAACTTTTACTGATAAAAGATTTTTTTCTCTTTTTCTTTCCTTGTGTGTGTGTTTTGGTGTTTTTAGTCCATGAGGTATCCACTCTTATTGATTTGTCCCCAATGTTTTTGTCTCAGTATCTTAATTATTCATTCAATATATGTCTTTCAATTATTCAAAGATCTTGATCTGCTCAGATGGTTTTGGGCTCAAAAGTATTATTTTCTGGTCGATATATATTTAATAATCCAGATTTTGGTTTTAAAATGACATATTACCATAATGTCTATATATCATGAAATTGTGTCACATCTTAAGAAGATTTTCTTTACAATTTGTGGTGCGGTTGCTTGGGTGTGTCTCAATAGCTAGAGGATAGAATCGTGCAGCTATCTTGCAAAAGCAAGCTCTTTTCAATAAAGGGGGTGTGGTCCTTAGCAGACAGATGTACTACAGAGTGTTAATTATAATAATTTACCTTCTTAAGTCAGTCAGTATTAGTGGGGGGCCACACCTTGCCTTTTTGTGGTCAATTTGATTATGTATGTGTGAAGCAATGTATTCATCATTAAGACCAATGAAGTTGTGATCAACCTGACATAGGGAAAGGTTGGGCTTTGTTTCAATAATAATTTTGGTATGAAATTGAAATATTGTATAAAATTGTTATTTTGATAGATTTTAAAAATGAACAAAGAATTTTCTATTTTTTTTCCAGCCTGTACAGACAGAACCTGTTGATTTGTCGGTGAACAAGAAGTCACCTGATCACCCTGGTAGCCACCATATAGACCTTAACTGTGTAAAAAAAGGTAAAAAATGTTCACAATTAGCTCTGACAATTTAAATATCAAAGGGAGAGAAGTCACTAAAAAGGGGAGACAACTCCTATTTGTTTGAATGTGTGTCCAAGAGTGCGAGCACTTTGTAGTGCAATAAAAAAAGAAAACATTGCTATCAAAATAATTTAAATTTCAACATCTCATCTATTTAAATAGCCCTAGATTAAGAAATTTCTGTGAACATGGCAAATTCAAAGTTTTGTATTAATGTAGGGAATATTTAAAAAAAAATTATTCAAGAAGATAATAGCAATTTTCTAAATGATACAAGAGTTACAGGAGCCAAGTATTGATATAGAGCTCAGAAGTCCTCTTATTAACTAAATTACAATGGCCTCATCATCATAATTATTAGAACAAAAGACAAGAGGAAATGCTTAGTGGAATTCAATAGTAGTCAAAAGATTCCCTCAATGCCACTGGGATAGGGGAACTTTTTTTATACTCTCCCCATTATGTTAAGCGGATGTAGCTTCCATTGATCTGGTGAGCCCATATTAACAGTATTGAACTGCTGGATTGCGAGATCTATTGAAAATTGTAATCACAAATATTAAGGGATGGGTTTCTCCTCGTGACGGCTGCATTAAATTCTTTTTTCATAAACATCTGTATGCTAATGAAAAACTTAACACGAAAAAAATGTTCAAGTGCCCCATTTAACAGATAACTGATCTGCTCCAGGAAAAATAAATATGTTTGAGAAACATTTGAGGTGCTAGGAATCCACTCTCTCTCACTCCTGGCCAATATGACTGCAGTTTTGATTTTGTAAACGAGCCATGTAGAGATTTTAATTTTTTTAAAGATATGTCAGGTTTATCTTGATATACTTTTTTCCCCAAACATTTGCCAGATGTAAATTTATGATTTCTTTGAGTTAATTTTTGCCATGTTTTAACCCTCCATGGGGTGTGAAACATGTAGCATGATTTCCCAGCTTTAGTATGGTTTTATTGATGAAGATCTTGAGATTTATAGCATGAAGTTATTTCTATAGATATATTAAAAGGTCACACAGGTTTCAGAATTCCAGTTTCATGCAAAACAGTTGATTATGGTAACCATTAAATTTAAAACCCATAGTTTGATGTTGAAAGTGAACTAATATAAATATTTACATTGCGTACCTGTTTATTTGTTCACTCTTCAAACTGTTATTACGTAACTGTTTACAAATTTTGTCCAGGGGGGTTGCCGAGTATCATAAATTATTTTTCTGCTGATTCACTTCCATTTTTACCAAATCACGATATTGTTATATATCGGATTGTAACAGTAGCTTAGATCGGGCTACTAAACAAAGGACCCGTATATCTAATCCATCTGAAACATTGATCGGGTGACCCCAGAGGAGTACTTTTGAGGCCACAAAAATTTCACACTCTTTGTTGACTTCAAAATCTGACACGGTCTTTAAACTGCTTCATTTATCCCTGTGTTAAGCGAGTAAGAAGAAAGGGGGTTACTGCTTACTGTTGTACTCAAGTAAACAATAACAAAAATGTTTTTAAGAAGTTCAGTGAGGTAAAAAAAAAAAAGAAGCCAAAATTAAGATACCATGTCAGGAGAGGTTTTTTTTTTTTTTTTTTGAAGATCATAGGTGAGCTTTAGGAAGACCAAGGTGAAAACCTTGTTTTTCCCACAGTTATGTAAATGGTTCAGATTGCTTGGAGAAATGTTGGTATTACAAGTCATTAATGCATGTTCAAACCTTGTTTTATATTTTTACAAAAAGAGAATTATGGAGTTAAATCCCACCTCAATGTTGAATTTATTAATTGTTTTGATTGTGGTGACCCCAATCTTTGCATTGAACAAGACTTCAAATGAAAATAAAATTACAGGTTATGGGAATTTCAAGAGACATGTATTGCTCATAAATCCTAAACAATCTTTTTTAAATGGGTTCAACAACGTATTATCAATATATAGGACACAGGCAGTGTGGTTATCTATCATTATCACGTTCCTTTATCTATCAGTGCTTTTTGACCAGGGTATGAAGCTATTTGAAACTTTTTATTGCCCTCTGCTACTGTTTGAAACTTTCCCCTGTAGAAAAAAAAAGATATGGCTGAAAAAGAACATAATAATAGAGTATGAAATGTTAAATTGACTGTCAATTATACCAACGTAAACAAAATGACAGGATAAGATAGTCCTGACCACATGTATTTTTTCTAAAGAGAATTGTTTTGAACTTTTTCAGAGGAGGACATGATGATGTCAGCGGACACAGTGAAAATCGGGTCAGCCGCGCTCTTGTCACTGCAGCGTATCAAAGAGGCCTCAAAGTGAGTTGTTTATGATGACAGAAGGGGGAAAATCTTGTAAAAATTTTACTTTGGGAGACAGGTTGCGAATGGCCACCATATTTAGCAAACAAATCCTTCACAAAAACCGTATCTTTCACTGTCACAGTGACATGTGTGGAATTTTGATATGGAATTGAAATATGAGACATTAAAATTAATAAAAGGAAAAATACCTTTGGGATGAATAATTTTGCTCATATATAAATTTTTCTACCATGACTAACTAATAGTTCCTGATACAATTGCCTGTTTCAGTAAGTTTAAAATGATGGGCTCCCCGAGTTCACCAAGACCTGACAGTCAACCGTTTCCTATGGCAGCTGCTTGTGACGCATTTATAGACCGAGAAAAGAAGAGGCGGGTTCACAGGTGTGACTTCGAAGGCTGTAACAAAGTTTACACAAAGAGCTCACATCTAAAAGCTCATAGAAGGACACACACAGGTAGATGTTCTGCTCTTTCATCCCCACCCCCTCCCCCATACCACAATGTTAATATATTTTTCATTTTTTAGCTCACCTGAGCCGAAGGCTCAAGTGAGCTTTTCTGATCACATTTTGTCTGTAGTCCGTCTGTCCGTCTGTCCGTCTGTCCGTCTGTCTGTCCGTCTGTCCGTCTGTCCGTCTGTAAACTTTTCACATTTTCGACTTCTTCTCAAGAACCACTGGGCCAATTTCAACCAAACTTGCCACAAAGTATCCTTGGGTAAAGGGGATTCAAGTTTGTTCAAATGAAGGGCCACGCCCTCTTCCAAGGGGAGATAATTAAGAATTCGTGAAAAATTAATGGCATCATTAAAAAATCTTCTTCTCAAGAACCACTGTGCTTGAAAACATGAAACGTATGTGGAAGCATCCTCAGGTAGTGTAGATTCAAGTTTGTTCAAATCATGACCCCCCGGGCTAGGGTGGGGCCGCAATGGGCGATCAAAGTTTTACATAGGAAATATACAGGAAAAATCTTTAAAAATCTTCTTCTCAAGAACAGCAAAGCCATAATTGGTCATATTTATATGGTAGCATCCTCAGATAGTGTACATTCAAGTTTGTTCAAATCATGACCCCCGGGGGTCGGGTGGGGCCACAATGGGAGATCAAAGTTTTACATAGGAATATATAGGAAAAATCTTTAAAAATCTTCTTCTCAAGAACAGCAAAGCCATGATTGGTCATATTTACTTGGAAGCATCCTCAGGTAGTGTAGATTCAAGTTTGTTCAAATCATGACCCCCGGGGGTAGGGTGGGGCCACAATGGGCGATCAAAGTTTTACATAGGAATATATAGGAAAAATCTTTAAAAATCTTCTTCTCAAGAACAACAAAGCCATAATTGGTCATATTTACATGGAAGCATCCTCAGGTAGTGTAGATTCAAATTTCTTCAAATCATGACCCCCGGGGGTCGGGTGGGACCACAATGGGCGATCAAAGTTTTACATAGGAATATATAGGAAAAATCTTTAAAAATCTTCTTCTCAAGAACAGCAAAGCCATGATTGGTCATATTTATATGGTAGCATCCTCAGATAGTGTACATTCAAATTTGTTCAAATCATGACCCCCGGGGATCGGGTGGGGCCACAATGGGCGATCAAAGTTTTACATAGGAACACATAGTAAAAATCTTCTTCTCAAGAACAGCAAAGCCATGATTGGTCATATTTATATGGTAGCATCCTCAGATAGTGTACATTCAAATTTGTTCAAATCATGACCCCCGGGGGTCGGGTGGGGCCACAATGGGCGATCAAAGTTTTACATAGGAACACATAGTAAAAATTCTAAAAAAAGAAAAAAAAATAATTTGTTAAGAATAGCAAGGCCATGATTGGTCATATTTATATGGTAGCATCCTCAGATGGTGTACATACAAATTTGTTCGAATCATGACCCCCGGGGGTAGGGTGGGGCCACAATGGGCGATCAAAGTTTTACATTGGAACACATAGTAAAAATCTTTAAAAAAAACAATTTGTTAAGAATAGCAAAGCCATGATTGGTCATATTTATATGGAAGCATTCTTAGATAGTGTACATTCAAGTTTGTTCAAACATGACCCCTGGGGATCGGGTGGGGCCACAATGGGTGATCAAAGTTTTACATAGGAATACATAGGTTAAATCTTTAAAAATCTTCTACTCGAGAACAGCAAAGCCATGATTGGTCATATTTAAATGGAAGCATCCTCAGATAATGTAGATTCAAATTTGTTCAATTCCTGACACCCCCCCCCCCCCCCCCCAACCACTTTTATATTTAAACTTTTCAACCTTTCAAGATTGAAATGATTTCTGCTTTTTCCTAGCCATAGTGCTCAGGTGAGCGATGTGGCCCCTGGGCCTCTTGTTTAACTCTTAATCCTTTTGTCATTAAAAACATATGCTGCAGATTGTCATTTTTATCACCAAAATATATGCATAATTTTCTTTTAATCTGTTGTAGGAGAGAAACCATATGTATGTACATGGGAAGGCTGCACATGGCGGTTTGCAAGATCAGACGAACTGACCCGTCATTTCCGCAAACACACTGGTGACAAACCATTCAAATGTAATGTTTGTGAGAGGGCCTTCTCCAGGTCAGATCACCTGTCACTGCACATGAAGAGACATTGATTTGTCATGGTAAGACATTTAACATTGCTTCCATTCATTCTTCATTGATGAATGTGGGTGTATGCTCAGACAACATGGAATTATGTTTAATGTCTTTTATTTCTATTTTGTAGATTCATTTTTAAAAGCTTACCATTTGATTTCTGTCAGCAGAAGTCACTGCAGCCCAGTTTTTAAAAAAATGATGGACCAATGAAATGCCATCCTTTCAGTTACTGCTGATTACCTTCCTGTTGGTGATTAGTTGCCATGGCAGTGGTTCCTACCAGAGACACCTTAGCTAGGTACATAATACCTAGGATTACTGTGCAGCAATATGTCATTATTGCTTAGTCACAAAAACTATATACACTTCACTTGGTGCATAAAAACTGCTTTATGTAGAAAACTGTAGCCATTTACATGTACAAAAAATGGACGCCTAAGAATACAGGGTATCCCACACCATACAAAAAGCGTTCATACCATGCACATCCACCAGAGCAATAAAGAAGTATTCAGATAATGGATTTGACATTAATGGTGTGTCATGGGTTTTGCTTTTGTTTGCAGACTTGGCTTAGGCATGAATACCTCTGCTGGCAAGAGGCTATGCATGCAGTGACACTTAGATCATTACAATACTATGGATACTTGTACTTCATCTTCATAGATTTTTTTTTGGTCATGAACTGTTTTTATTATCACTTGAATGAATTTTTATGTCATTTGAAAGCAGCTTTGTGAGAGAAAATGATTATAGGCATGCATCTGTAGTATAACTATTTATCATGTTTAGATTGTGAAGGTTACAAAAAAAATCCCCTGATACTGTTGTCAGTATTGTAGATACCGGTAGATGAATTGATACTTTTTCTCTGAATGATGATGTCAGTGAATTGTTTGCTTGGCTGTTGAATGAATTGTTTTTATCTCAGCCAGTCAAACGAATTGAACCTTATCTTATGTCAATAAGAGTCATGGCCCATGCAAAGACTTTGCATTGGAAAAAATGCAGATGAATTTTCTTTCTGAGCTCATGGGAAAAGCAATATTAGTAAATAAACTATTTTTGATGTCTTTGGAAAAATTCTTTTTGAATTTGTTATAAATATACAACAGAGTGCAACATTCAAGCAATAATATAAAATGTTTTAGAAAGGTTTATATGCGTTGTTTCATTTTTAGAGAGATTTATTATGTGAGATAGCTAGTAACAATTTTGAGTGGCATGAAAAAAAAATCACTGCTGAGATAATATATATATATTTGTTAGTTTTCTTTTCTTTCATGCAGAAAAGAATTAGTTTTTCCTCAGAGCAATAAAATTTGTTACATTGTTGCCAAATATGTATTATTATTATTTTTTGCTTTGTTTGAAGAAATCTGCTGACACAAATAGTATTTTCAAAATGTCCGCGTCTTTGACGGTGCTAGATGCCTAAGACTCAGACAATGTTGTATGGATGTAGAAATTACAATTCTAAGCAGAGAGTTCTTTATTTACTGAATGTTCAGTACAAAATTGTGATTTTACAATACTTGAAATTTATCAGATCTTCATTAAAAAAAGTTTCATTTTCTCAAATATTGTTTAAAAAAGAAAATAAAAATTTGGTGCAAAAATTGCCAGCTTGAATCACTGCATACTGAGGGGAAGTTACTGCATTGTTTTTGTTTTTTTTTTTTGCTCTTTAAAAAATCTGTGATGTTAATTTTAATGGTAGTTGAATAATGACTGTATTTCTTATTATATGATAGCACCCCCCCCCCTCCCCAATTTTTCAATTCATTTGATAAAAACAAGAAATAAAACATATTCTATTACTTTCCCAATTTGCAGGATTTAAGCATTGGAATGTTTTTTTGTTGTTTTTTTTAAAACATAATTGCTTTTTAAGAGTTGAAAATTTTAACTGTACGAAAGTTTTATTTTGTAGCTGCGAAATTACTCTTGAGCAGATAACTATAGCTGGGACCAATTTGGGATGCTACTTCCCAAATGATTTTTTTTAGACAGAGGGTCATTATGTGTTCATACATTGATAGAGATTGCTATATATTTTTCATTCCTTTTCCCCCTTATGTTCATGTACTATATTTCATCATGCTTCAGTGTTGTAAATATGTGTAACCCATGTTGTAATTCTGTCAAAATCTATCAAATTACAGTTGTAAATTAATTTATTAAAATGTGATGAAATTTATTGTTGTTTTCTCCTTTATATATATATAATTTAATCTTTACAATCAAGGCTACATCATTTTAAGACAAACTTTAGATTGGTTGCAGTGGCGGATCAAGGAATCTTGAAGGGGGGGGGGGAGCTGATCAGTTTGGGATCAGGGTAGGGGCCACGGCCACACCAAAAAAATTGATTTATGAAATCTTATGTATATTTTGGACACAGGGAGGCCCCCTGCCCCCCCTCAAAATCCACCAATTTAGTGGATTGGGTTTGCTTATGAAGTCTCCATTTTCTTTCACTGGGGATAAAATTGAAGTTTGATTTGATATTATTTTGATCTTGAAGCAGTGTAATGATATATTAAATTGATTTTAAAGATCTTTTCTGAGCCATAACTATAATTAATAAATGGAATGAACTCAATTGTTATATTACCTAAATACAATGTACCATTACTTAATGTACTGGTTATTTCAATACTTAATAGGCTGGGTTTAGAATTAAAAGGTTTTTAGCTTTTCATAGTTGTAGTAAACTGTCTAAAACAAGATGCCCATGGGTCACAATGCTCACCTGAGTAACTGGCCCTGCTGTTCAACAGATTTTCCCCCTTATAATACTTATTGTGGCCCCACTCTACCCCGGGGGTCATAATTTGAACAATTTAGAATCTACACTACCTTAGGAAGCTTCCCATAAATTTCAGCGGCCCACTGGCTCTTATAAAGATTTTTCCTATATATTTCAATGTAAAACTTTGATTCCCTATTGTGGCCCCAACCTACCCTGGGGGGATGATTTGAACAATTTAGATTCAACACTACCTCAAGGGCTTCCACATAGGTGTAAGCTTTCCTGGCCCAGAGGTTCGTCAGAAGAAGATTTTTAAAGATTTTTCCTATATTTCTATGTAAAACTTAGATTCCCCATTGTGGCCCAACCCTACCCCCAGAGATCATATGAACCATTTAGAATCTACACTACCCAAGGCTGCTTCAAAATAAGTTCAGTTTTTCTAGCCCAGTGGTTCTACAGAAGAAGATTTTTAAAGATTTTTCCTATATTTTAATGTAAAAATTTGATTCTCCATTGTGGACCCACTTTACCCCCAGGGGTCATGATTTGAACAATTTAGAATCTACACTACCCAATGATGCTTCCATGTAAGTTTCAGCTTTTCTGGCCCAGTGGTTCTTGAGAAGATTTTTTAAAAAACCCACCCTATTTTTGTCTTTTCTTGATTATCTCCCTTTGTAAGGGGGCTTGACCCTTCATTTTTTCAATTTAAACTCCCCTTCACCTAAGGATGCTATGTACCAACTTTGGTTAAAATTGGCCTAGTGGTTCTTGAGAAGAAGTTGAAAATGTGAAAAGTTTACAGACATATGGATGGACAACAGGTGATCAGAAAAGCTCACTTGAACTTTCAGCTCAGGTGAGCTAAAAATGCTTAAGCTAACTTGCAGGGTCTGGAATGCTACTATGATAATTTGGAAGGGGGGGGGGGGGGGGGGGGTCTGAAGGTCCATTTTTAATGAAGCGTCTCCAGGCCTTTCAAATCCATTTTAAATCACTGCAATCTTTATAGTTATGTTCCACAACTACAGCTGTCCTTCCAAACTTCTCCATCTACTCCTAAAAAAATTAACAAGATTCTCATGATAACAATTTATTGGAAGTAACATAATATTACTGTCTAAATACATAAATTAAATGACAAGTTGGTGACCTTGGGTACATAAATCAAGTCTGTGCTGCCCTCATACACAGCTTGCTAATGATGAAGTAAAATAATATCCTCACTACAAGTTTGACTAGATAGTACCTGTATCTCAGCACTGTTTAAAGATGTACAAGATGGCAAAAATTATTTACAAATTCTGTTTCATCAGGATGCCTGTGTATTCTCTCGACAACAAAATAAAAACCTTTCAGTTTTATGTTAATGAATCTGCAAAATATTTCCCTTGACTATAGAAACTGTATCTGATTTAATTAATTAATATAAAGGTAGCTAGGATACTTATTAATCTAAATACAATTTTTATTTCTTTGATTCTGTACTTGGAATGCGGAACTATTATAAAATAGTAAATGTCAATCATATACATGAATGTGGAATGCAATTAAGTATAAAATTCTGGAATCTAGATGAAAAATTCTGGCCATAAACACAGAAAAAATTGTCTTTCATAATTAATCTATACATATTCATCTTTCAAAATAAACAGATTATTTAAATGATAGTTTTCAGATCAAAGTCAGCTACCTGCCTTTTAAAAAATAGTATAATAGTTTGGAATGCATCATAGACGTTCATAAAAATAATAACAACATAACAATTCATTAACAGAAAAAGCCTGTAAAATAAAAAAAAAAATCACCTGTATAATTGAAAAAAAAAAGCAAACATTTAGAAACCCCCTAATGATTTAAAGTTTTCTTTCAAGGATTCCAAAACACATATGTTCATTAGTTTTGTAGTTTCTATCTGAACTTCATTTAAAGCAATTATAAATCCCAAAACAATATGGCACAGATAAAAAATTGACTGATTTTTGCTTTTAAATTCACAATAATGCACCACTAGAAAATAATTTGCCTAAAATGTAACATAATCAAATATACAATTTCTGATATTTTACAAAAATTCCCCCAAACAAAACTTCATCAAACAATGCACTATGAGCTAAATTAGTTTGTTATTGGTAATTCTTAAATTGAAACACCACAACAACGAAAGTAAATATAAAGTAAACCGTGTCATGTAATGATATTCATGATTATTGTACAAACATTTGGCACAGAAGGCTACAATACAACAATGAAATGTGGAAAATGGAACACCTTTTTTTCTGATTTATGTGAAGATAAGTTCTTTGATTTTTAGAATATGTGATTCTGGTAAGAATTTTTTGCATTTAGTTAATGATGTCACGGAAAGGGGGGGGGGGGGGGGTTATGTAATTATAAAAATGTCAACCTTATGCAATATTTAATAGGAAACGATATCAAGAACCACAACTCTTACGTAACTACATGTACATGTATATATCAAAGATGTGATTTTGAGTGACCTCTGAATGTCTCACAACACTAAACACAAACATATATTCAATGTGCAGATGATGACATTGCATAATGGATAATGTGCATAATGCATGCATAATTACACCTTCTCAAGGGAGGGGGGGGGGGGGTATGATTAATAGAGATGGGAGACTAAGCTCTTACATAGTAAGATCTATATGTACAACATTCACTCTTTTATGTTTTCTGGATTTCAAAGTAATATTATGTTTGCATAAATTGGGTACCTGATACATGTATAAATCCTTGCCTTCTCCTTTCTTTAATACTCCATCAATATAAGAGGTAAATTCACCAAAACCTTTGTTATTTTTCAAAAAATCTATATGCAAATACTCTATATCAAATTTCTATTGTGTGTAATATTAAATATACTGAATTACATGCTTATATGAATAATTGGATATGATTAAGATATATACTGTAAAATATGTATATGCAGATTTTTTTTTTCAATGAACACTCTTAAAATTCTCTCAAATCTTCAATTCTCTTTGTGTGCAAATTACACAAAACATGTTATACACATTGTAAACTGAAATCTTATACATGTATATAAAAATGTTACATTTACAACTAAAACATCAGAATATATAATGCAGAGAAGGAGATTCCTATGTCTATAAATAGTCTGATGACATCATACTAGAGATTCCTCTCCATCTTCACTGAACTTGGCATCAAACACACAGATTTCTTCTTGTGATCTGCAACCTGACTGCCGAGATTTTAGCTGGGTGTAATTCTTTCTGGTCCTTTCCTGAAATCGTACTCTCTTATGACCAATCTAAAAAGTTAACCAAAACATGCATCTATTTAGTGAACTATTTATTAAAGAAAATCCGAAATGCCATGCCATAAAAAAATATTTCATGACCTTAATTATACTTGATATGGTGATTATCAAAGAATTTGGTCTACTTTGGATAAATTGAAAATAAGCTACATGTACAATGGTACATGTAAATATACTGCAGAATGAGTGTTTCTGTTGAATTTAAGGAACTGAAGTTTCAGATAATAATAATTTAATCTATCAGTATGTACAACAAAGGACCAAAAAGTCTTAGAAATGCAGTGTTAATGCCTTAAAAAGATAAATCATGCATCATTACACTACATTCTAAAATAAAACCGAATCCTTGTAATATTCTGGTTACCAAAAAAAAAAAATAAATAAATATAAATAAATAAATAAAAATTCTCACATTGACACTTGTAGTCATCTATTTCTAAGCAATATCAGCTACTTCCTTTAATTGCATGCACATGTAAAAACTAATTTATGACAAAACAGCTGACACAACATCAAAGACTATCTAATACACTGAGGAAATTCCCCTAGGTTTCCAAGAAAATAAATATAGGGTCGGTGTGAACACATACTGGGTGGGGTTCCAGTTCTCAGATAGGCAAACATTTTAATCAACTCACCACATTACGCTTCAGACTGTTAATATGTGTCATGTCAAATCAATTATCATTAAATACAGCTATATATTTAAGCACAGAGTATCAGTATCAATTTTTAAAATATCCTATTGTGTGTTGGCCTGCTTCACATTTTTTGCATACATGTATAATGGATTTATGGTAGTGGCACATTTCAGATGCATCCACCCATACTTCTATGTTTGAAAAATTCTCCTTTTTTTAAAACTGTGCTTTTTGATATAACAGTGTTACTTTGTAAATATCCTAAGTTCAGCCAAGAGCATAAATTAAAACAGGGCACGTCCTCTTTTTCTCTCCCCACCCCCTCCCAGAAAATTTTTTTTACAAAGCCTGAAATTTAAAATTTTCTACAGTGAATCCAAACAAAACTTTTTTAAAAAAAAATTCATCTATCAGACTACACATATTTTATAATCAATTAGTCCCTGTGGGAATTCACAAACCTCAAATAAGTGTTTAACCTTTTTTTTTTTTTTTTTTTAAATAAATTCTTTTCTAGAAATTTACCTGGTCATCTCCATTTGATACATCTTTCCTTAAACTGTATCCTGTAAAAAGTAAGTAATAAAACTTATTAATAACACCTCTTTATTTATAAGTTCAAAACAAAATCTACACCCATCAATCATGAATTATAATATGGACAATACAAAGATGTGCAATAAATTTATAATTGCTAATAAATTGAAGTAACATATACATGTGCTCTCAAAAATTATGAATAAAAACAGACATATTTATGTTCTTTAAAACAAAGGGAAAAGAATCAAGTACAGTGAGTGCCCCAAAAATCAAAATTCAAAGAAATTAACAATACATCTAAACCATAGCAATACTTGTAGCATCATCTAAGGACATTAAAGTGTTAAGGAGAAATGTCCAGTAAATGATGAGAATATCAAACTTCAGTGATTCAAATTCCGAGAGAGAATGGGTGCATTACAGGTCAATATTTTTGATTGGAAAACCTCAAGTGCAATACTGCCTAGACTCCATCTTTTAATATAAAGTGTGAATTGTAATATAGATGAAATGCATAAAAATGAAACTAGTCCTCAAATATTGCACTCATTGGCATATTGAGTCAAAATCAAACAGTTTCTTGTTTTTTGTGATCCATTTCAGAAATTAGAGGAAATTCTCAAAGTCTTTGATGTCACAAATGCCAAAATAATTTGCCAATTCCACCCATTTTTTTCATTTTTTGTTAATTGTCATTTCTTCAAAATAATATGTTCCAAAGTGCACATTTTTTACCGAATCTTTAAATTTGACCATTATGGGAGCAGACACATGCTATTACTGAATGCAATTTCATTTATTGTAATTATATTTAGCTAACAGGATGATTAATCCTAGCCGATAAGAAATACCTATTACAGATATGGCTACAAATAAACAGTCAAAAACTGGCCACAGTGAAAGCATTACATGATAAATATTAAAATACCTATAATATATAAACATGTGCTGTTATAAAGCCTGTGTACTGATTAGTCAGTTAGTACAAAGCACAGATCCCTTATACTTCAGCATTAGTAAATTAGTCTCTTATACCCAACAGCTGATAGACAAATGGACAGAGAGGGAGGCCATTCAACAGCTAGGTGTTGCCACCTTACCTATTTATACCTTGACCTATTTCTTTTCTCATTTCTACCTGTACAATGAAAGCATGTATCATTTTTACAATCTGCAAGAGCATAATTTATAATGACTGTGAAGAAAAAACTGTATGTGTGCTGGTGAAAGCAGGATGGGACATATTAAAATTGTGTGATAAATGGTGGATGATATTGTATACTTTTGCTCAAAAAGCATATTCTAAAATAATAATTACAACGATTTAGATTTTATGAATTAATTTTCCCCAATACAATCTTCTGAATGGCAAAAATAATCCATCCTTTATTAGAAATATCTAAAATTATATATATGCATGACAGAGTCCCATTCCCTTTTATTTATTCCTACATAACTCCTTCCTTATCATTGCACTACTAAGCATGCATCAGTAATGTTTAATATTTTAAATGAAGAGCTCTGTTAGTTTTCTTTCATCTACACAACTCTGCATAACACTAGAATATCCATACAATATCATTCCAAGCCTATGAAAAATTACATATATACTTTGATGATAGCTATATATAACAAAGGTCCGCTTCAGTTAAATTTTATACCATATTTGTTTACTATTGACGTTAGCATCTGCTAGTTAATCTGTGCTTTAATAAAGAATACTGTTATAAAAAGTCAATGCGTGAGATAAATACAAAAGGACAGGAGAGGTAAAAATAATAATATACAGCTTTCACCAAATATAACTGTAGATATACAATGATACCTAGACGGTCGACTCAAAAGAAGAGGCATTAATGGGAACAGTTTTAGAGCGATTTCGATTGCGCTGATTTCTACGAGCTCGCTGTGGACTCGACTGTAACTTAACAACTGAAATCAAAATGCAATATGACTACAACACAGGAAGGAGAAAGTCAAGAAAGAGGTTTATATTTTACAATATATGATCAAATGTAAAATATGTTAAAATTATACAAAGATTATAACAAAGAATATAACAGGGTATCAAATTACATGAAAATATACAGTCCAAACATACTATAGGCCTAATGTGCAGATTAATTTTTCAGGGAGGGGAAATGTAATATGCATGCTAACTGCATGATGGTAATATTGAGAATGTAGTAACAGAATGAAAATACTGAGGAAGATAAATCATTCTTAAAAGCAGTCAACTTCTCAAAACTATACAATATTTATTGAACTTGCCCTGAGTAATATAAACACAGTTTCAATGAATACCAAAAAAGAACAGAAAACACTGTTTAATTCAAAACACTTTTTTTCAGTTAAATAAACTGTTGAATTCAAAACAAAATAGCAAACAGCAAAGTAACAAAACCCACATACATGTATAACATCTAAATACACCTGCATTTACCTGAGTTTATTGAAGGAGGATGTTCAGACTCTGGGGTGGCAGCAGTGATGGTCACTGGGGGAGGGGGTACAAAACTTGGAGGGGGAGGGTGCTCCTCTGGTGAAATCTGAAAAAAAATTTCTCCGTTGAGATATTTCAAAAACCTTAAAAAATTTGTTTTCTTGTAATTCTGTAATGAATTCTTAAACAAAACAATTAACCATTAAATGGTTACTTCCATAACTGATTTAAAAATAGCTTGAAAGGTAAAATAAAAAAAAAAAATGGATGTGTCATACACTTGAAATAACCTGCTATAAAAACTTTGTAGGATAGTATATGAAAACAACAGGTAAAAGTTTCTGGAATAAATGAGCCCTTACACAAGTATTTTCAAATATTCATTAAGTCATTAGAATAAAATTTTCCTCACCATGCCATTATTCCCATCCACACCAAGCTCCTCTACAACTAGAGAGGGAAACACCCCTATCCTTCCATTCAACTCTCCCTCCCAGAATCCATCATCAACTCCATTCTCATCCTTACGAAGGATTCGGATCAGAGTACCTGTCATGAAAGACAACTCCTCTCCAGAACAAGCTTCATAGTCATATATAGCTCTGGCCCAGGAACCCTCTAAAAAATAAAGGTTTTTAAAAAATATTTTCACTTCTTATCCACACAGATAACTACAACAAATATATATATAAAAAATTATGTTCCTCCACTGACTCTATCTTGATATCCATGATCTCACTGGATTTAAGAAAATTGATTCCAAATTTAATTCAATATTGCTGTATGTAATAATTTTAGTGCAACTAAGAACTTAAATAAGAGAACCTCCTAATGGAAGATGGTTATCAACGGGCATTTGATTGGTTGTGTGCTGAACCTCCATGTCACCTGATGAGTATGACATCACTTCCTGTGTGCTGTCATTGTAGCAACCACTGTCAACATGGCTGCCATTTGCTGACATTTCCATATTTCCACCACTAGATACAGAGCCCCTGGAAAACAAACGTAATATTCTATTCAAAATTTGTAGTTTATTTCACTGATGCTCATGACACACTCTATAGTTTTTGTGTTCTTGTGAAAAATAGAAACGTTACAGTTCATAACACTAAAAAGAAACTGTGATGTAAACAGCCTTTCACATTTTGGATGAAGTTTTGCATGCTTTTCAAAATGCTTCAACTGAACCAATTGTTGGACAAAAATGATATCATCACAGTCACTATTAAAAGGCACCATTCCTATTTCTTTAGTTTCTTCACCTAGAACCCAGTATTTCTATGTAGTTGGAGGGGATCATCCCAATAAGGCCCTCTGAGTTCCTGGCTCTCAGCCAACCATCTCCATCACCGTCAGCAATTATCTCCAACTCCTCATTCTCCCGCAAATTTAGCTCATCCACATTAGAGCCCTTGAAGATGAAAAAAATTTAAGTTAAAATTGTAATTTTACTATAAAGGGGTTAAAGTAACCCGTTTCATAAAAAAAAAATCTATGCTTGGGAGTGATGACTGGTTTATAATATTTTGGTCTTCACAAAATAATTACATGCAATATACAGAATATTAATTTTGCTAAATCAGTTTGGTTATTTCAACCATTTCAAAGACTATCACTCTATTTAACAGGACCTCAATATTTCAAACATGAAAATTTCACTACTCCATCAGCTTGGAGATTTTAAGAGGTTCAGAATGCAGCGTTACCCTGTAATATTTTACCTGGAAATCATATATTGCTCTGCACTGCTGTGGGTAGTGACTAGTGTAATTAAAGTTGCTGTAGGTGTCCATTTCATAATTGACCAGGCTCTTCTCTCTTCTTGGTTCGTCATCAATAAAGTCATCGTCATAGTCGTAATTTGTGTAAGTTGGCTCTTCATCACTTTTCTGTACAAAAATCAGATGACAAACATATATAACTGCGCACCTCAGTGAAAAAAAAGTTTATCCTTAGTGTACTTATGACAATGTTCTAGATATTTTGCTTTATGCCAAAGATTGATAAATAGCCACTGGTTATCTTATTATTTTTGGTCATTCTTTTTAATAGACTTATGGAACTTTTATAGAAACACTAGAGATCTGACATCTGTTTTACTGACTATTGAGCTGTCTGTGAAGACAGAACCCTGGCTGGATCTGAGGGACTGCTCTTCCTCCTCGGCCCGTAGACTCTCTGCCTGGGCACTTGCCAACCACTCGTCAACATTCACTACAGAAAATGTCCTTATTTGTAATAGTGGTCAAGAAAAAACTCCCAGATATTTTACAATGGTGACAAGAACAATAGACTTAAATGTATATTTTTTTCTGGCTAAAGGTATGGTGTATAGCATATATTTCAAAATTAATATATGAAAAATCACTGAAAGAACATTCTTTTTTATTTCACTCCTGAAAATTTGACATATTTACCTTTCTTCCTCAATAGTGCTATTCTTGCTTCAGCTTTTGCTTTTCCTATCTGTATGCAAAAAGTTCATCTCTGTATCATATTCAGAATCAAATTGATAGAAAAAAACTTAGAAGAACTGTGATAATTAAAACTGAATGACAGTACTGTTAATATGTTACTAGGAATTATATTGAAAATTCCTAGAAATGTACAATGTCAGTAGTACTTATTAACCAGCTTTTCCTGGTTACCTCTGATTTTCGTATGACCTCTCTCATTTCATCAATCTTCATCTCCAGTTCCTGTATTTCTGAGGTATTGCTTCCATCTGAAGCCTACAAAGAGAAACAACTCACAAATTCCTGCATAACCTTTCAATTGGACTTCCATTATGACTACGATTGGCAACATTTATTAACTCACCTTATCTCCCCTGTACAGATTTTCTAATGCCTGGAGAGTTTTTCTGTTTTGTCGTAAGGAGCGTGTTTCCTTGGCAATCTTTGTTGCCCACTTTCTGGCTTCCTTGTCCAACTGATGGCCTCCATTATGCTCTTTTGTTAAAGTATTGCACTACAATACAAAGGGGGGATTTTTTTTAAAATATATCTTTCATTCTCAATTTACACCAGTGAAAAACATCTTACTCAATCAAAATTAGATACACCTTAAAAAAAAGTAAGATTTCCACATTCAGATGCGAGTGCAATTTAGCATTTGTAAAATAACACAGGAATTATTTATTTAAAGAAAAGCTTTCTGGATCTATACATGCTTACCTCATCATTTTGGCAAGGTTGAAATACATATTGCACAGGCTCCGTAAATACTGGGTTACGGTACATAAAGACTTGATGATTAAAATCTCGGCATATCTGAAATATGTATACATTGAAACAATTTTTCCCTCTATATAATTTTCCTAATCATCCATTAAGGTATTTACTATTTCTCACTTCTGTTGTTTATTTTCACTTTTCATTAATAAATTTGGAATTACAAGAATGTCCAAATTCTGAATGTTATGTAGAGTGATATATATTTTGAAGAACACCAGGTTTTTACCATATCTGCCTGTTTAGTAATGGTTTCACTGGCTGTCTTCTCCAAACTGCTTACATCCAATAAAGCTTTGCCCATGGTATGAAAGTATTCCAGGATTTTTTCATACATATCTCCATCTAAAGCCTAATAAAGAATTCCTCTTAATGGAAAAGACTGAGAAAAGCAACATACAAATGTACATGTACTACTCCTTAAAGCAAGACAGATACAAAACTGTGCACTAAAGTTGAAAATCTCAAGAAAAAATAACATACTAACTTTTTCTGTTACATTCACAATTTATCTTTTTCCAAACACTTTCAAGTAAGGAAAAAATAAGGACTCATTTTGCTCAGAGGTAAAAAAAAAAAAAAGAAGAATTTTTGAGCACATATGTAGGACTTACAAATGTATTTTGTACATCATGCAACATATATACATGTATCAAGAAGTAAATTTATCAAAAAAAGTTCTGTTATACAATAAAAAACATTAATAAAGACAAAAATATTACAGGAATCTATGTAGGATAATACGTTATAAAAGTAGACAATTGTTTCAAGTGCATGCAAATTGTTGTACCAGACAACCCGAAGGGATTCAAATGTGATTGGGTACAGCCAATCACAAATTTGATAATGATTGGTTTAAACATCAAGAACTAGGTTTTAAAAGAAAATAAATTACTAATTTTGAAATAAAAAAATTCCAAAATTCCATGGGCTAAGAGTAAAGTAATTTTTATCTACATTGTAATGGTAAGTAATGCTGACATACTTTCATGAGCTGTAAGAGATCCGTGTTATAGTAACGAGACTGGTGTGCATTAGCAGCTGCTATGTGAAGAAGGTAGTCATTGCGAGCTGCAACAGATTTGGCATTGTACGCATCTCGTCTTGCTGTAAACTGAAAAAGAAATATTTGGACAAATTCATAATAGTGTCATATTTTCTATTATTATATCTCATCATAATATTCTATTAAGCATGTCATCTCTTGGTCTAGACACTCTTGCAACTAAGAGAATACATGATTACATCAAGTACTAGCATTCCAAAAGAAATAGTGTATCCAATCCATTTGGAACACTCTTTTCCTATCAGAGTAAACATTCTTGACCAAGAATACCCAGCAGACATAAACAATCACTACCTAACAGACATAAACAATCACAGTGTCTGTCATTTTGTAGGTTCCACATTGCACTCTCAGTGAGAAAAACTATCTGATTTACTGCACAAATTGGACTGCAAGAACACTAAGAATAGCACAGGACTTGCTGTGAAGTATTTCAGATACCTATTTTTTAATTGAAAATAAATTTGGTCCTCAAGCAACACTGAATTTGAAAGTTTGTGGTTATTTTTAGCTTGATTCAGTATTACAAAAACAATTTATTGCATGAATGTTTGGAAGATATGGAGAGTTAATCAGCTAAGAAAAAATATATTCCCTTTGCCTTAGTCCTCGGAGTGAATAAGTGAATAAAATACAACAGCAACATTTCTGAAACATTTACTACAGTTTTTTCTGCAAATTTCTTTGGTATAAATACTGGAATTTGTCACATGTTACTGAGGTTTTCTACTGTAATTTTGGGATCTCTGCTCTTATGATAACACACACCTTGGCACACTGTTTTTGTAGACTTGTCTTAGACTGGAATATTCCTGATGATCTTTTGGCTAATCTACAATTAAAATTATTAAGGACTTCATTCATATGCCTTTTAAGACACGACATTATTAATCTTATTTTACCTTGTAATACTATAAACATACTTATTTTAGCGGTCATAATATTTTTGCACCTTTTGCGCTGCTTCATGTCCACTAATTATTTATGTATGTTTACAGTACTGCAGCTATACAAGTCTTAAAAAATGCAATTTTTCATCAAGCACATGGGCCTTAACAGCCACCTGAGTATCATATGTTTCTCAGGCTATGACCAGCTTAGGCACAGCTGGGACTGGGACTCTTGAATCACAAACCATTATGCTTTACATTGTATTTTCAATACATGACTTAATAAGCCCAACTCTGGGGCCTTAACCCTTGATCTATGAGTCATGAATTTAACAATCTAAGTATGGGCTGATTATCATAATCACGCAAGTAGTTTCCTCTGAGACATCCAGGAGAAAAAGAGGAAATGTTTAAAGATTGTATTTTTTGGTTTTGATTGCATCCTGAAGGCCTCAGGTTTTCCTCAATCATGAAATTCAAAATATTTGTGAATCTTTGTCCATAAATGCTATGTACAAAATTTCATAAAAATTGGTCCAGCAATTTCAAAGAAGAAGTGGAACTTATTGAAAAGTTGAAGACAATGACTGATGGGGACAGATAGCAACAGGTCACCAGAGTGACTCATTTACCATTAACCTAAAAAGTTCCTCAACAGTTGTGAAAAATGAATGAAATAACCCTTGCATATTTTTAAGCACTGTTACCTTTATCAATCAGCTCTTACTTTTGAGTGAGTTCTTCTGATTTGACCCTGGCATCATGAGCCAAAGTTTCCTCCATACTGTATTCTTTCTGGGCCTTAGCCATCTCTAATACTGTTTGTCCAACCTCATTTTGTAGAACATTTAACTGAGGCATCAACTGTTAAGAAATAAAAATGCAGTTGAACATTGATATCAGGAATACTATTGATATGACGGAGTGAGTCTAAAGTCCAAATATGTTTTCTTTATGTATTTGAAAATCAATATCCTGAATACTTTGATATCTTAATTTTTTGGATATTAGAAAAGTCATTAGCTTCCAAATTTAGACCCCCTTGCTGTTAAACATTCATGGAATTACTGATTAATGTACCAGAAATCATACTTTATTTAATGCTTTACACTTCATTGCCATACTCTTCAGCTATCTAGAAAAAATTTCTTCCTTTCTTTATATCATACCCTTTTCTGAATTTGCTGCTTGGCCATGCGGTAAGGTTTGATTGGCTCGGCAATCCCTTCCATAAGAATTTCAGCCACTTGAAGTCTGGCTTTGGCCAGCTTCTCTGTCTCCTCCAAGATCAGCCGCCATACTTCTAGCGCTGTCCTAAAACAAGAATTCACATAAATGTAAATGAACATTATCAAATTGTACTGTTGTTTATGAGAAACAAGGTCACCAATCATGGACAATTCATATCTGACCACTGACAATGATGTTACTATGTACAGCAATACAGTGTGCATTTGCAGAAATTGTAGAAAAGATGAAGTATTTCGGACCAATAAAATATAGAGACAAGTTTTAATTCAACATGCTCTCTGATTTTCTGTTTCAAGTCATGAAAAACTGTAGTTGATAGATGGTATTTCTGGGGATGTTTTCTATGCTAGTAGCATAACTATCATATCATTTGGATTTAAGACTGGTTAGTCAAATTTTCTTGATTCAAACAAGAATAGAGGTAAAGTTGTTCGTCAGATTCTAACAGTTCAGCTTTGCTATCCCAAACACTGCTAAGTCAAATACCAAGGTATATCGAAGCAAATCTATAGCACTGAACATATTATTGGTTCTTGTCTCAACTTTAATATCTTCAATTCTCAGACAACTGACTTTTAGTCCTGGGGAGGATGAGATACTCAAATTTTACTACAACTTGAGGAAAATTAATCATTATTTACTGGTATTTAAAGTTGATACTAATGAATACACAAAATTAATCACGTAGCAAACTAAGCACTACAATCTACTTATTTTCCAATTGATACTTAATTTTTCATAACAGTCATTTATGTGGCAATTTTTAGGCCATCATATCCATTCACATTTCATAAAACAAAAATAACCATGGCACCAGGAAATCTTAACTTGATTTGAAAATACCTAACTTAATCAAGAGGAAGTTCCTTATTGTCATCTAAGAGACATTTATCATTGTTAGCTGTTAATGCAGTTTGATGTTTTGCATTAATTATTGTGAAATATTTACAAAAGGTACATCCCATGTGATAAATATAACGCATTGTCAGTTTCATCATTTCTACATAATTATCTTTTGATGCTTAAGATCTTTTTTTTTTTTTTTGTTTTGCAAGACTTTTTTTTATTTGAAAGGGAAGGGAAGGGAGAGGGGCATGATGCATATTTTCATATTAATGATGAAGTTAGCTGATCATTTTTTTTCCTAAAATCTACTTAAGGACATTATAAAAGTCAAACCGCTAGAAAACACCCATGACAATGGCACTGAACATAATATATTATTATATACACATTATAATTATATAATAATTGTAAAATGAGTAATATTTTCATCTGTATGATTTATATTTTTTTCTTTTATCTATTTTTTTTTACTATAGCTGTTATTTACAGGCTTGACCCCCAGTTTGTCTGGGTCAGTTGGCTGTTTCTTTAAGGAGAAGCCAAGGGTGCCCAGCCAAGCATCAAATCTCTCCTCAAATCAGCTAGAGCAACGTTCCAACATTACTACCATAACAGGGACCTTCATTATGTCTATAATGGCATCCCTAACTCAGAGTACAGAAAATTAACATGAGAATAAATCTCAGTTTCAAATGTGACTTAAACTCCAATTGTTGGCACCTTGTTTAGTAAGCAATCTGATCCAATGTACTTAAAATTCACCAAGCACACTTGCTACTTAATGGGAAATTGAAGTTAGGTTTGATTTGTTTACATATGGTCATAAAATGGAAAAGAAGTCATTAGAATGGAGAGTTAGGGCTTTAAATAATATTGATAAATGAATCTATATATCTGCTTTAACTTAATATGGTGTTCATTCGGGGGTTTGTGGACAATCAATAGTTCTAGTAATCCCATAGACAGAGGGATAAAAGTGAAGACAAACAGGCCAAGTACAGGCTGTACAAGTTCTATCAAATTATTTGACAATATATTACATTGAACAACTACATCAATCAAGGCTAAAAACAAAACTGTCTCAAATTTTCCTTTGATCTCCCTTGAGGAATCAATATTTCAAAAATGTTCAAAATCCTATATTCTAATTCTGACGAATAATTAAGTCATATCAAGTTGGATTAATTCAATCTAGACCTAAAAGAAATGACTGCATTTCATATGTCAACAAATGCCTAAATCAGAGCACATTTTCAATTGTCAACACTGTGTGAATTTTGAATATTAAACAATGTTGACATGTTCTAATACAAACAAGAGGACCATGGGCCATAACGCTCACCTGATTACTTTGTCTAGGAAAAAACACAAATCAGTTCAGTATTGAAAAGTTTAAATATAAATATAAGTTTAAATATAAATCATACCCATACCCCCTCCCCCGGAGGCTTTGCTGTTCTTAGGAAGAAATTTTTTATTGATATATCCTTTTATATTCCTTTGTATAACTATGATCCCTCTTTATGGCTCCTAATACTCCTGGGGCTTAAGATTTGAACAAATCTGAATCTAATTACCTGAGAATGCTTTTATATTATTATGACCAATCATGGCTTTGCTATTCTTGAGAAGAATTTTAAAGATTTTTCCTGTGTATTTCTATGTAAAACTGATCATCCATTGTGGCACCATCCTACCCTTGGGGGTCATGATTTGAACAAATTTGAATCTATGCTACCTGAGGATGCTTCCATATAAATATTGCCAATCATGGCTTTGTTGTTCTTGAGATTGATTGTTTGTTGTTTTACGTCCTGTTCGAGAATTTTTCACTCATATAGAGATGTCACCATATACCAGTGAAGGGCTTCAAATGTAGACCTTAATTTACTTGACACTCACAGCATTTGGCAGTGAGGGTTCTTTATCATGCCAACGCCTACCATAACACAGGGCCTCGGTTTTTAAGGTCTCATCCGAAGGACCCACAACTTTCACATCAAAGTTGCCGAACTCTCAGCTAAGGAACAGTTACTACATTTTTTTATAGACTTAGGTCAGTCCCAGCCATGATTTGAACACATGACCTTCTGTTCCCGGAGTAAACGCTCTACCATCTGAGCTACCATGACGGACTGTTCTTTAGATGAAGTTTTTAAAGATTTTTCCTATGTATTCCTATGTAAAACTCTGATCGCCTGGGAGTCATGATTGGAAAACTGAATCTACACTACCTGAGGATGCTTTCACATAAGTTTCATATTTTCAAGCACAGTAGGTCTTGAGATTCTGAAGAAGATTTTTAAATGATGTCATTAATTTTTCACAAATTTGAAATTATCTCCCTTGGAAGAAGATGTGGACCTTCATTTGAAAAAAAAATTGAATCCTCTTTACCCAAGGATACTTTGTGGCAAGTTTGGTTAAAATTGGCCCAGTGGTTCTTGAGAAGAAGATGAAAATGTGAAAAGTTTACAGTGACAACGGCAACCACGACCTCACTTGAGCCTTCAGTTCAGGTGAGCTAAAAAGGCACTTCTGGAGAAGAAGTCTAAAATTTGAAACGTTTAAAGACAACACATGAATAGATGACAACCGAGGAAAACAGATAGCAATTAGGTCACAAAAGTGTCTAAGGTGACCTTATAAAAATTAGATAGACAAAAATAAAATTAAGTCACTATTAAATGTCTCCTGGTATTTTTAAAATAGATGATATATATACTTCTTTAATTAATGTTGATAAATTCTGCCTAAAATAAAAAATTATTTCTAAATCACATAACGCAATGGTATACTTCTCCAAATACAGCCATAGACATGTGGATTATTTACAACAGACAAGAAGCAATCATCAACATTACTGAATTATATCAAATTTTATAGATAACATCAATTTCTGATGAAAATGGAGTATATCATAGCAATTAACATAAGTATTTCCCTGGCACACACATTCACATGACCAAGAAAACACAGCTCATAAAGATGGCAGATCAGACAAAGTGGCTCTGTCCTAGGAATATGATTCAGAATGCAAGCTTCTCAAAGTCCAGCACTTAAATTCTGAATTCTAAAGTGCATTACAGCTAATAAAGAAGATGGCACTGGGACTTTACTGTAATGTTCAAAGAAATTACAGTTTGATTTCTGAGCATTTGTGTGTGTTTAAGGGAAAGAGATCAACATGATCAAATGATGTGTGTGACATGTTAACTATGAAAATCAATTGACAAATGCAAAACATCTTCCTTAATTGATTAAAACAAAAATTAATCAAGAAAATATTTTGTTTCTTGTAACATGCTCTAAAAATTTAAAGTTGGTAATTTTTTTTATCTAAAATAAAACTAATACCAGAAATTTTGTGTTGTTTTTTTTTTCTGGAAAAAAGGTCTTTCAACTAACACAGAGCTTGAAAAAACAGTCTCAAAAGAAATGTGCATTATAGTCAACATGGTCAATTTGTGCAGTTTCACTGTCTTCAATTTAGCAGCAAATGACAACTTTATTCTAAACATGCTTGATAATAACTATAAATATATATATAACAGATTTTCAGCAAATGTTGCTATGAAAAAAATTAGTGCATGCCAGGAAATAGATTTTTTTAAAGTCTTAAGTACATGTATTATGTAAAATTTATCTTTTCCCCAAACTCCCCAGTGATAGTTCTATTATAAGGCATGACATGAGAAAGATTAATCAAGGAATTGCAGCTTGAGCGTCTCCTATAAATATTTAATAAATCAATGTGTGAACATAGAACATCCTAGACTCGTAAAAGCTTTGTTTAACTAGCTGACTCCCCAAGAAAGTTTCACTATACATCTAGGGTAGTTGGATATTGACAATATGATAAATAGTTATATATATATGTAAACTTGAGAGTCGATTCTCACTGTCTCACCTGGTACAGGTATTGATCCAGTGATGCGTGAAGGGCGAGTTATCCTCCAGGTGAAGGACTTTTTCGAAGAATTTATCTTACATACACATCTTTTCATTATGAAATACCTTATAACCACAGGACATTTTATATGTATACATATTTCAAATGGAGATGACAATGCATATTCAGAACATACTTATACATTTGCAGTGTGTACTTGACTATCACTGGATAAGGTATAAATGAGGTTCACTTTTTTTCGGGGGGGGGGGGGGGGGGGGGGGGGGTTCAATATTACATTTAAAGAATTTTAGTACACAAGCACTACTTACTTGGCCTCTACTCCATCCTCGTTCTGAAGATCTGGCGTAGCTTGGAATTCTCTTTTTAATAAACCTGTGGTCAATTTCAACAGAGCCTACAAGAGATTGCATCCTTTAATTTTAATTAATAGTGAAATAATTAATATTTTGCAATGATCTAAATTACACTGCTTTATATAAAGAATTGTATCTTTTTCATAGTTATCTGCAAATCTTGTACATCAAGAATTGCACAATTTAAGATGCTAGCTATTCAATTTATTTAAATTCTGCAATGGCTAAAAGATTTACCATCCTATTCAGTAATATTTTTCTATCAACTACTTTTCATCTGGTAACCAAAAACTGTTAAAGAATGGAAAAGTGGAGTCACAATAAAAGACCCTCATTGAATCTGCAAATTGGACATGTAAGAAGATCTTAGAGACAATGAACAAAGAAGTCAAGGAACAATTTTAATTCATTAGCAATCAATGGTCCAAACACTGGCCCATATTTTGAGATGGGGTCCTATTTAAGGATCCACTATTGGTCCACATCATATCCCTCCCAGGAATTGAAAAATCACTTAACAGTGTATTCTGAAGTGATCCATTTCATGTATTGATTTTCCCCCTCCTCTGGTTGCCAATTACGGCAGGAAATTGTGCCAAGCCCCCCATCCCCTATCATCAAACACTGCGGACCCATCACAATAGTAAACTCCTCACTATTGATCCCTTACATCTAACCAAGTCAATTTTGACATGAGTGGACATCAATAAAGGACATATTGTCATTCCAGGCTTCACAATAAGAAAAAAGAAGACGTTATGTCTTTATTGTGTATGGAAAGACATTTATTTTTTTCTATAGATACCGAAATGTCTCTGCCATTCTTGAAGATGTAATTAATTAATGAAAAGAATTTATTGGACATACAAAAGTACCCATTTCCTCCTTCAATGTTTTTTCCACCATTAACCCACTTTCAAAATGTAAAGGGTTATGGGATATGCAAAATCAAATTCTTGATTCTTGGATTCTTGATTAAGCTAAGTACTCCATAATTCTGCATTATCACTAAAACACATGCATGGAAAAATCCGTGGGAAATCATTTTGGGTTTTTTTTTCCACTTTTAGTTGAATAAAGGAAATAACAGAAGTTCTTGGAGTGTAATCTACTTTGTGATAACTGGTAACAAAAATTCATCTTTACAATCAGCCGATTACAGAGAGGATCCATTTTAATACATAAAATGATTTAATTCAAAATAAATACAAATACAGAAAATCCCCCTCCCCTTTCCCCCTAAAAAAAAGATGAACAAATTAAAAGATTTGAAAAGAGTATTATAAGTGCATACCAGTTCTTTGTCAGACTTATTTCAAACCTAAGAGTACTTAAAAATACAATTTACATAAATGATTTTCTACTTCTTTTAAAGTTTCATAAACTAACCACTTGAGAATTCACACATCAGCGTTACACAGAATCACAGAATCAGGGGTTCATTTCACAAAATGGCTTATGACTAAGACCAAAACGTAATTTGGAAAATAACTTTCTTCTTTAGTAATACATTAATTTGAAGATGGTTATATGTATAAATCTCTTTCTTTTTAAAGAATTTTGAAAGATATTTATTATGCAAGCAACTTTTTGACAGAATATTTTATTTTGCAAGCTTTAACAATCAGCTATTAATAGTTTTTGGTCTTAATCTTAAGTTCTTTTGTAAAATATCTCCCAGAACCTTAAGTGACCTTGACAGTGATGGAAGGTCATTATAAATAGATAAAAGAGGATAGTACAGTAGTACATCACCATCACGTATATCTAGAAAAAAGTCAATATGGTCCATATCGTAACTCCTATCTCAGACTAACGGAATTATCTGATTACATTATTGCATGTCAAGCTGAATTTTAGTAGAAACTGAGCCACATGGACTAACACAGGGAAACGTGTCTGACCATAATATGTTAACTGCAGAGCTAGAAGTCCTCCAATATCAATATATGGATAAATTTCTACCATCAAATAAAACATCATTTTCTTGGATCAGAAAAGAGCTAGCCCCGAAGTAATGTTTTTTCCTATATCTCTTCAGGAAATATTTTTTACCAATGATAACAGAAATGAATTGGCAAATCCAGAAATTGTTGCTCATGACAAATAAGTGTTCGGATCCAATCCACTGAATGAGGGTTTTTTTCCCCAATGGCTTGAAGTTAAATGTTGAAATTGTTAACAGACTGAATCTGAGTAAAGAAAAATAATTGCCTAATTTAATTTATCACATCTCTTGACTACAATCTTTAATTAAATTTCTTTTTTAACAGCACGACCTACAATCTCCTAGGAAATATCTGCTGGGATTTCATATTCCGAATCAATCTGATTAAATTCTTTGATTGGCCTTCCGAGGCCTACCTCACACTGAAAATACATAAACGAGATGAACAAACCATCTAAATTAATCCTACCAGAAAATCAATTGAAAGAATCAATTAATGAGCTTAATTCCAGAGGAACTTCTGATTGTGGCTCTAGCATTCTATCCAATGACCATTTTCATTTTATTTTAAATTCTCAATACTTTTTTCCTACAAAGTAACTAATAACTATACAATTGTTTGACTAAATCATTGAAATGTTATTTTCCCCTTTAGTGTGGAATAACATATTTTTTCAATTTCAATTGACAACAGAACCTTATTGCATGAAATACATTAAATTTGTTTTATATGCACTTACAGCAAGATCTGCATGCTAGAATTTTACATATATTAAACCACATAAAATCATACTTTTTAGAATATATAAACATTCCAGGTCACAGAATGACTTAAAAGCCCAGGCTTTGAGTGTATTTTGGCTCAAAGGCAACAAATATATGAAAAATAATCCATATTATTGGAAGAAGGACTTCCTTGACCTACAAGGTAAGACTTTGAATGACAGTCAATCAAGAGTTCTACACAAGGTCAGGACCGGGTAATCTGTGACATTGAAAGATGTAAATAAAGTCCTATCTGTATCATAACACAGTACCTCTAGTAATTTTAAATACTTTAACCCAATAGTTTTAATACAACATTATATAGGGTCCTTTTTTAGTACATATGTACTATAAATCACATTGAAATGTTTCACCTGGACCTCTGTTAGAATGTTAATGGAGTTTTTATTATTTACACAAAAAAAGGTGTCAACATTGAATTACCTGTCCATATTCCTTTTCTATGATAGACCTCTGTCTGCTGAAGTTTCTACGAAAGAAAAAAAATTTCTGATGAAAAATTCAGCAAGAACTCTACATACCTATCATTACTCAGGTAAATAAATGTCACTGACTTGCATGCTATAGGATTTATAACACCTGTTATATTTAACAATTTTTATAACACATTTTTTTTGGTGTTGGTTGGTTTCACAGATATTTACTCTTTATAATTTGTATTATGTTATCAGATCTGCTTTTATACACATAACATTTTAATGTTTTATTTTCATGGAAGAGTTATGTGTCAGATTGATGATTCAAAATGTACATAAAATTTACACCATATCATAAAGCTAAAAGTAAACATAAATGTTGCTCTATTGAGCAATATATCCCAAGGATTTCATGCCACGATAAAATTCTCACTTATTATGTTGTGTAATCACAAAGGTATTTGTTATCTGTTACTTTTTTATCATCAGCATATTTTTGGTATAGACCAATGCCCTTCTTTTCAAATGGTGTCAAGATAAAACAGCTGGGATACACCCCCATTTCAACAACCTTTGACCTCCATTTCAGATCAATTTATGAACCGATATAACACGTTTATCTTATAAATAAATAATGTCTAGTTCTAATCTGTTGATCCCCCGATCGTATGAAGCACTCTGTACCTGATGTCATCCAGAAGATCGCAATCCTGCTGTACTTTACTTTGTAGTTTGCTCACCTGCTCCGAGTGGATGTTTTTGAGTGCAGTTGTGTATTTTACCTTGAAAACAAAACAATCGTGTTTTTTGCTTTCAAAACCCGACTTTAATTTTAAAATGAAGAAATCAAATGAAACGAATTGTTAACATAATAATCTAATAAAAGAAAACTGTACCTTTCGGGGCGGTGGTTGCATTTTTTCCAGGATAAAATCCGTCCGTAACTCCTAACTATGTTGTGTGTCAGCCATACTCTGTTGTCTTCTAAATTTGGTAAGAGTTGTCTATCTTGTGGAACTTTCGCAAGCTGCGTTCAGTTGCGCAATATTGATCTCCTCTTGCGTTCAAAATATCACTTTTAAATACTCTACATAATATATTAATTTCAGGCAAATAAATTCACTTTCAAGAAAGTGTTCTTCAAAATTTATTGCAGACGTCACAAACTGGTTTAATATCAGAAATACCAAAATTACATAATGACGTTAAATTCTACATCTATCGTGTGTAAATCTACTATGGGCTACTTTGGTGAGTTTTGTTAATTTCGAGTTGAAAAAATGTCATTGCAAGCATTTTGAGTCACTAACATCTCTAAACAATTATGATTTGAATTAAATAAGAACGATTATCAAATTGACCTTTGTCGAGAGAATTTTATAAATACATAAAAAATATTCCTTTATATTAGTCTCCAAAACCCATCTTCGCTACCCAAGTACCTTCCTCGCAAGGAGTTTAGTGGATCAGAAACACTTGGCTAGCGAAATCCAAAACCGTGGCCATGCAGCATCCCTCAAAATCAAAGGGAATCGGTTTCAGGATGGTGTGTGTGTGTGTATTTTAATGTCGCTCTAAACATACTAAATATATTGATAAAATCAAAAATCAAAAATCACTGAAATTAGCAGTTTTTAAAAGTATCTTATTAAAATTTCTGTGTAAATAGAAAAAAGCTTTTTTATGTACATATACATATAGCATGCTAATTTCAGTGATTTTCTGTTTTTATTTTAATCAATATATTTAGAGCGATATAAAAACACACACACAATATTCAAAACACACCATCCTGAAACTGAGTCCCTATGTCCAAAATATATAAATAATGTTCATTTTGTGACGCCTGTAAACATTTCATGTGCAGTTATGATTGTTCGGCTACTCGTAAAGCTTACTAAATTCATTGATACATATGTATAATTAATGCAAAAGTTACTTCTCCGGGTTAATATCAATTGCACACTCTTGCTTTACGTACATTTTTGACATCTATGTTGATCTGACAATATGAGAATAAACTGAATTGAATTGAAGTAACCATTTGGCAAGCCTCATTCATGTGATCGCTGTCATGTTGTAAATTCTGAATTTACCGGATGGCAGTAAATACTAAATTCGTTGTCATGTTGTAAATTTTGTATTTACTACCACCCGGTAAATTCAAAATTTACAACATGACATTGTCCTCAGTGGAAGAGCTGGGTGCGAGTAATTCAGATACTGAGATCATGTAAAAAAAATTTCTGGGCGAGTTCTGATGAAAAAGATCGCCGCATGTGTTACTTCACTTCCTTTCTGAATTTGAATTGCGATCAAAGTAACTACACTCTTTAGTTTATAAAAAGAAATGCATGAAAAGAGAAAAAGGCGCACGAAAAAAATATTGCAGGAGTATGTCAGTATTTTTCAGAAATATATAACAGGAGATTGTTTTCTTTTAGCAGAGACATATCTGTAGGCCCGTAGAACCCGGGAGAGGGGGGGGGGGAGAGGAGCGCCCCCCCCCCCGCTTTTTTTCCGAGTATATTTTGCTATAGTAAAATTCCATTTATATGCTGGTTGCCCCCCCCCCCCCCCCCCACTTTTTATTACTTTAAGGTTGAACACTGGCAAATTCCAGGATTTGAAAAAAATGTACCGAAAAGTACTAAGAGAAAGATCCCCCAAACAAATAGGATTTTCGAGTTTGCACAGTTTAATTATATACATTTTTGTTGTTGGAGATTGGCTCCTCACTTTTAAAACCGTTGCTACTGGCCTGATCTGCTATCGATGTCTCCGTTTTCAGTAAATTAGATGCACACACTAATTAAACGAGAAAAATAATGAAAACAGAGAATTTTGTTTCTTGAACTCTGTATTTTACTTAACTTTTGTCCCATGTTTCATTCTAATAAGAAAAAAGAAGGAATTAAACATGGAATGCATACAAATAATGAGAACAAAGTTGATAAAGACAGCAGGAGAAATAGTTTTTTGACTGACGTGCTATTCTCACTAATAACAAATATCAATCCTGCTTATGAACGTTGTCAACTACTATGAATGAATAAAAAGAAAAATATCGATTCCTTGAGTGGAACAAGGGAAATAACTCCACTACATATTTTTTAGTAGCAACACATAGATTTATTTAATACTAGTAGAGGCCTTCTATACTTTGATGTTTTAAACTATACATGTACATGAATATAGTAATTAACATTAACTAGTGCCAACGCCACCACTTGCCGGTGGAGAGCTGCAAATTTTTTACCTTTACTCGGCACTCAGGGTCATTGAGCAGTGAGGGATCTTTTTCGTGCCAGCACCTACTGCGACACGGGACCTCGGTTTATATGGTCTCATCCGATGGACCGGTCTCCACCTCCCAGTGGGATTCGAACCCGCCACGTAAGGATCAACTCCTTACTCCGCGACTCTAGAGCGAACACTCTAACCACTGCGCCACGCGGGCGACTCAACCACATTTAATGTTGCCACTTTTCCTTCATTGTTAGTATCGTGTATAATAGAGCAATTCAGAGCGAGACTGAAAATTTTCTAGTACTTATCTCTTAATACACGTTTAAATATATTTACTTGATGTTTAAAATTATTTTCTCCATGTTCAAAATTCCCAATCAAATTGTAACTGAAGATTCCGACCAATAACACCCTAAAAATTTCATCGCGTTATTGTTAGGTACTGGAATACGAGCACTGTTTTAAAGGACTTTACTTCTGAAAATGATTTACAAAAGGTGTTCCAAAAAGTAATTATACACGCATTTTATGTTAGAAACGTCACACTGGATCCTATATACATGTATATAATCCTACATGTACATGTATTTCTTTGCTGAATAAAAGACTGAGGTAAATTTTGTCATGGTTAATAGATGCATTGATTTTTCAAAGGAAAGTATAGACCATTAGACAGAATATTCCAACATTCAATCCAAGTTGTGGTAACACTGAAAATATTTTATATTTGTAAAGATATTTCGAATCCATGATTTTTTTAAAACCTTTCTCACAGAGGAATTCTAGTGAATCAACTTATTAGTTAACAGAACAGTCTGTTCATGTTAAAATTGACTGGATCAAAACTCAGTACAATTCTATCCATTCTTTTTCATCAGCTGGTTCCCTTTGTCACTATATCATAAAACATTTGCAACAAGAAATAAGCTAGATTCCATTGATCCTGTTAATTCTGAATAAAATCCACACACTCAGGACATAAGCTTACACAGTTGGCACATTTTATTTCTCACATTTCCAGGATAAAAATACATTTAATTTTGTTTATACATTGTAAACTGTATATTTTAAAACTTTTCAGGCACAAAGTGTGCTTAATTTACAGTAAGATTTCATCACAGATCTTATTGGATACTCTAATCACAGTTTATATTATGACAAATTTGGCTATTCCTACTTTCATGAAATACAGGAAAGAATCTGTAAAAAGGTTTTGAAATGTGTTTTGTCAGGCCTTGTCCACAGTTTATTTAGGAAAATTGTGTGTGTGCATGTGTACAGATTTCATTTTTCTTTTTTACACCTGCACTGGAACAACATGAATATTTCATACGATTTTCTATTACATAAATGAAACATGTAAGTTGGCTACAGGGCTACATTCAAGATCAAAATGGCTACATATCTCTATGTTGAATTATGATCTTCAATGATATGCTGGGCTAGCAGCTTCTTATTGTACATTGGATAATAAGCGTTAATTCATAAAGTGTATTCAATAGACCTATATATCTCAGCCAGCAGCTAGGCTAACTGCTATGATCTAGAATGCAGCCCTTGTTCCTTATGCAAATACGGAACTCTTTTGTAGAGAAATCCAATGAAGTCCTGTGTACAACAGCCAAGCAAAACTACAGAATACAGAAATCTTTCTTATTTGACTTAAGCACACAATAAAACTTGGTCTTCATGTAAAGATAAAATTTCATATATAAATCCATCCAATAAAACTTTTGGTAAAATATCCTTATCAATAAATAGCAAATAATGTATTCAATCACTATTTATCCCACTTGTAATAGCATCAGCCATATAATCTCTTTTTATCAGCATCCCACCCCTATCAACATGATTTTTATTGCCAATAAAATTAACACTGAACAGTTTATCCAAGAACAACTTATCAAGATCCAAGAATTAAAATATACCTAATTCGATATCCCTAACAAAAACAATCAATAACCCAGGTCATCACAACTTTTTAACACTGATTAATGCCCTTCAACGATTATGATACACCACTGCGTGAACTTGTAAACGAGTCTCTAGAATTCTCCGCAGAGTCCAGGCCCTGACTTCTGGTAATTCGCTTCAGAGTATTATCAGATTCGTAAATGTTTTCCACATCCACCAGCTCACTGTTTACAGAGGCTGGAGACAGTGATCTAAGCTGTCTAATACTACGCACTGAACTCTCTGGAGAATTTTCTCTGCTACTCTTCCGACCAAAGTCCATGTGAAATACATCAAACACGTTGTCGATACGTCTGCGTACACTGCGTGTTTCCCTTGGCAGACTGCCATTGAGATTTTTTTCCATTGAATTTGAGATGCCCTCAGAAATGCTTTTTGTCTCTTTGGGAGAGCTTGGTTGAGATCGACAAATGCTATTGCTTGACCCATGTCTTGTTCGAGAAGGTGAGATCTCATTGAGAACACGTGAGACAGGTGATTTTGGAGTTGGTGATCTTGTACTGGGACACTTGGTGATGGGAGATTTTGTTCCTAGTCTATTTTTGAACAATGTGTCCAAAGATGTCTGAACATAGCCACTTGCAATGTTTGCAATTTGTGTCCTGTGCCTTTCCAAGCCCCTATGAACTCTGTTCTTTATTTTGTCCGATATAACAAGTTTTGAGTTTCGTAAGTATGCATTAACTTCCTCTTTCACTTTGTCTGACACCATATTTGACTTTGAACTTGTCACTAACTCTGGGACACTCAATTCATCACTCGACTCCATTCTGGTAACTTTTCGTAATTCCCTTTCTGCCTTTGTGAAAGATTCCCTTCTTGCCCTTTGCCTGACTTCTACTTGTGGTTTCAGATCCTCCACATATTCCTTCTGCTTTGTCTTCTCTGGTGAGATTCTCTTGTTGTGCTGATTCACTGCCATTTCCACTTCACACAGTGAGCCACCCGGAGACTTCTGAGACCGTAGAGACCTCGACTCTGCAGTCAGTCTTGGTTCACTGCACAGAGAATCAACATCAGTCATTTCTGTGTCCCCATCATCAGACATCTCCTTGAATACTTCGCTCTCTTTCCGACTTCTCTTGCGTAGTGTCTTCTTCTGCCTAATCCGAGACCTTTCAGATTTATCTGGTAATTTGGTGTTTGGTTTTTTTGATTTTGTCTGCTTCTGATCCTCAGGTTCTTCCTTCTTTGTTTCAGCAGGCATCAAGAGGAGATCCTCCACTTTAGTTTTCATCTCCTCCTCTTCCATTGCCTCCTCCTCATCCTCACCAACTTCAGGAGGGATCCTCACAGTTTCTAAGACCTTAGTATCATAGATACTATCAAAATGGTACATGTCCACAATTTTGTTCACTTCTCTCTGACCCAAATGTAACTTGGTATTTGTTAATATTTTGTTCATGGCCATGAATACTGCTTCACGGTCCTTGTAGAATTGTTTCTTCATCTTTTCTCTTTTGCTCACCATGTAGCAGAGATTCCGGACCTAGAAAAGGAAATTTAGCAACAGAAATTATATTTTGAGATCAAAAAAAAAACTTAAGCATTAAATTTCCTTTATGCTATTTTCTATCACTTTCTCAATAGAAAAGCAGAGAATCTTGTCATAAAATAGCTAAAAATAGCATACGAATAGTTCAGCATCCTTAAGAAATGTCATTATCTTCCTGCAGCACTCTATTTTTAAGTATTTGCTGTCTAAAATCAATTCAAGCAACTAGAAATACAGAATTTTAGGAATATTTACACACTACACAGCATATTCCCTTTAAACACTGTAAGTGCATATCCTGACTGAGGTGAAGTGCAGAGTACCACCTCATACACAATGCAAGTACATATACGCAATAATGTAAAGTATGGAGAACCAGTTTACCCTCTCTAGATCCTGTCTGAGTTGGACAAACATCTTCATCCTGGCCACCAGAGAATCCTCCTGTTGTTTCTCCAGAAGGTCCTCTTCTTCCTTCTTTGGTGTCAACAGAGGAACATCAAACTGAGCCTGGAAAAAAATAAACAGGAAGGGGTTTAAAATCCTTCAAAAATAAACATGTATTGGACACATCCAATACATGTCGGTCAAATTCAATACATGTAGCTTATGATCCATCTAGGGATTTCCCCATCAATAATTTTTTCAGTTGTCTTAACCATAAACTTTTGTGACAAGAAAGTAAATTCTACAATGCAAGGATGATCCAAAACGAAGCAAATGTTGAGTTACTTTTTATACAAATCTGTATTTTCAAACTGACCTTTCTCTTTAGCTTCCAGTAAACATAAATCATTTCCACAGCACTCTCATCAAGGTTAAATTGCTTTGCAATTTCTTCCACATTCACAAAGGTGTAGAAATCTTCATTTAGCTGCTGCATTCTGTAAAACCAATATAAATAATCAGTGTATGTTACCTTGTACAAGAATCCAAGATACTGAGTTTAAATTACACAAAGTGGGTAGGACTTCTAACTCCCTCTGATTGTCTGTGGTATTTAAGACATATATATTTAGGATATCAAACTTCAACTGTATATGTTTCTGCATTTTATTCTTAAATCTAAGTATACTACTTTCTCCTACCATAAAATGAATTAGAATACTTATAATAGCTGGATTATTTACATCAAAACACTGAAGATTTCACAGAATTGAAATTTTTAAATTCAGATGCAGCAGTACTTAATAGCGATTATTACAACTTTAACAAAAACACAATTACTTTTCTGCCCTCATTTTGGCTATTTCTTCGTCTGACAGCTCTTTCCTAGGGGACCCTCCTATGCTCTTCCTTGGAGATTCTGAGTCTGACTCTGAATTTCTTCGCTCTCCCTTCTTGCTATGTCTTGGACAATAGGCCTGTTATAAAATTAATGCATGTTTTATGTTCCACTTACAAAAACAATTTTCTACCAAAAAGGATAACATGGAACTAAAAACTTTCAAATTTGAATAAAACAATTGAAAAAAGTTTCTGGTTATTAATTTCATGTAAAATAAGAATGAAATGAAAAGAATGAAAAGATGTTTTCAGGTGTAAACATGAGTATCATTGCACCTGATTGTGAAAAACAAAATTATTCTTTGAAAACAAAAACAAAGAAAAGGCAGAGAAATAAACTGCATTCTCTAGAATAAGCCTAGTATACCTTAAGCTTTACTCCACCATCATCAGCTATTTCATCTGTAAGGATTGTTTTCATCTCTAGATTGCTCTGGAAGGCACAGCTGACATGGAACGCTGTCTTACAGGACTTGACTGAGCACTGGATACAGGCGCCACACCTCTCCTTACACAAACAACAAATCAACGACCAACGACTGGCCTGTAAAGAAAATCCAAATTATGAGTTGTATTATACTGTAAGTCACAGTAAAAGTTATTATTATTGTATACATGAACTCAGTTCACTTTGAGTCAAAAACTCACAACACATGCTGTACATGTAGTTTCTGCATTTCCAAGAACCTGTATCTTGCATACTGTGGTTTTATCAATGTTCTTGGGGATCAATTATTGTGCTTTTGGCAAAAAACACAATCTTGATATGCATAAATTCATAGCTATTTTTAGCTAGTCCTATTTCATTATTAGTAACATTTGTAGTTCATTGATCACATGATTTGATGATCTGGCTCAACTATGAAAACGAGTTGTTTTACTAAAACTTATGTAACCATAGTAGGTCTAATTTGATCATAATTTAATCAATGTCAACTCAACATGTAGGTAGATATGATGCTTTTAACAATATCTATGTTACTGGTATACATGAAGCTTTGGAAATTGAAGGTGAAGATGACATTGTCCCTACTAGATACAGGTTATATACTGACAACTTACAGGAATCTGAGATATTTTGGTGACAGGTTCCATCTTCTCTACACACCCTATACTGACTTCTGGGATCCACAAGGCACAATTTACATGTGCCCACTTTGTACCACTCCTACAAAATCAATGATTCAAATTATACGAGAAAACATGATTAAAATTCAAAACTTTTAAACCACTTTAAAAATTTCTTTAAATGACATCTACATAGGACATATCACTTGTTCTGTTATACACTTTATTTTGATCTTCTGTAATTTTATTTTTCTTGGATTTTTCTTTGACATGTTATGAAATGGTTATACAGAAATCATCTCTGATACAAAGACAAGTAGTATAATATGATTTGAATATGGGGCCTAAAGCCTTACCGTGTACTTTTCATGGCACCACCTGTCTTTGGACACAGAATACAGGTAGGTTTGATGCCCAGGGCACACGTTCTACACAACCAGCTTCCTTCAGGAATCTTCTGGATACCATAACAAGCCTGGAAAATGTTTGTTAAAAGTAATTCAATACTCCAAACTTATTAAAGATCTTGTGTACCGAAATAAGAAATAAGATTAAAGCTGGTTCTATAAAATCTCTCACCTGATGTACACAAATGTCACATCCATCACAAAAGACCATCTCATTACATTCCTCACTTTCTGGCTGTGTATCAAAATGGGCAAAAATTAGAAAGTGGTAAAAAAAATGACAAATCAAATTTATAACAAGAGGCCCATGGGCCACATCGCTCACCTGAGCACATTGGCTAGGAAAAAAAGCAAAAATCAGTACAGTATTGAATAGTTTACAGGGAAGGGGGGATGTTGAATTTTAAACTACCTGATGATGCTTTCATATCAATATAACAAATGGCTTTGTTGTTCTTGAGCAGCAGATTTTTTTCCCATATATTCATTTGTAAAAATTTGATCCCCCATTGTGGCCCCACCCTACCCCCGGGGGCCCTCATTTGAACAAATTTCATTCTACACTACCCAAAGATGCCTCCATATCAATTTGACTAATCATGGCTTTTCTGTTCTTGAGAAAAAGACTTTTTCTTATATATTCCTCTGTAAACTTTGATCACCCATTGTGGCCCCAACCTATCCCCGGGGTAATGATTTGAACAAACTTGAATCTTCACTATCTGAGGATGCTTCCATATAAATATGACCAATCATGGCTTTACTGTTCTTAAGAAGAAGATTTTTAACGATATTTTCCTATATATTTCTATGTAAAACTTGGATCCCCCATTGTGGCCCCACCCTACCCCGGGGGTTATGATTTGAACAAATTTGAATCTTCACTACCTGAGGATGCTTCCAAATAAATATGACCAATCATGGCTTTACTGTTTTTAAGAAGAAGATTTTAGAGATATTTTCCTATATATTTCTATGTAAAACTTGGATCCCTCACTGTGGCCCCATCCTACCCCTGGGGGTTATGATTTGAACAAATTTGAATCTTCACTACCTGAGGATGCTTCCATATAATTATGACCAATCATGGCTTTACTGTTTTTAAGAAGAAGATTTTAGAGATATTTTCCTATATATTTCTATGTAAAACTTGGATCCCCCATTGTGGCCCCATCCTACCCCCGGGGGTCATGATTTGAACAAATTTGAATCTTCACTACCTGAGGATGCTTCCATAAAAATATGACCAATCATGGCTTTGCTGTTCTTAAGAAGAAGATTTTTAAAGATATTTTCCTATATATTTCTATGTAAAACTTGGATCCCCCATTGTGGCCCCACCCTACCCCCTGGGGTCATGATTTGAACAAACTTGAATCTACACTACCTGAGGATGCTTCCATATAAATATGACCAATCTTGGCTTTCCTGTTCTAAAGAAGAAGATTTTTAAAGATATTTTCCTATATATTTCTATGTAAAACTTGGATCCCCCATTGTGGCCCCACCCTACCCCCGGGGGTCATGATTTGAACAAACTTGAATCTACACTACCTGAGGATGTTTCCACATAAGTTTCATCTTTCCTGGCCCAATGGTTCTTGAGAAGAAGAGTTTTAAATGATGCCATTATTTTTTCACTAATTCCTAATTATCTCCCCTTGAAAGAGGGTGTAGCCCTTCATTTGAACAAACTTGAATCCCCTTCACCCAAGGATACTCTGTGCCAAGTTTGGTTGAAATTGGCCCAGTAGTTCTGGAGAAGAAGTTGAAATTGTGAAAAGTTTACGCCAACGACGACGACGGACAAATTTTGATCAGAAAAGCTCACTTGAGCCTATGGCTCAGGTGAGCTAAAAAGTTACAATGTCAATATGCTAAAAATACATGTATGCTTCTTTTAATCTGATTTTTTAATAACTGAAATTCAGTTGTTCCCTTTGCTCTCCATACTGCATCTCTATACTTACTGAAGCACACACAGCACAAACAATGTCCTCATCATACTCAATCCCCAGTCCTTCCTCTGTCTTCATTTTTATCTGCATCACTTCATGGCACTAAATGACAAATTCATTCTATGAAATACATCTGTGATATATGGTGACACGATATCTCTACATATTCATTGCATTCATTCATTCATTACCTGAGTTTCCAGAGCTTCAATGACTTGTTCCATCACCCATTCATCAATCAATATTTCTGAAGTTTCTTCTCTCACTTCATTTGCCAGATTTAACCAGCAAACATCTAGATCATCCAAATCATAACGAATCACCTGGTCTGCTAACTGCTGCATGCCTGTCAGTTCATGAATTCCCTGCTGGAATGTTTCATCTTTCATACCATGAAGGTATTTCCTTGGTCTAATTTTCAAATAAATTAGAGATAAATTCATTAATAACAAATGGAATAAACTTGACATGGATACTTTAATAAGGGTTTATTTTCATTGCAATATTTACAATATAGCAGCAAATTTTATGCAAGTCAAGAGAACTAGTCAATAACATATTAGTAAAAGTAACAATGATTGTAAAATACTAACATTTTGAAATCTCCACCTGTCCTATCATTGTCCTTCACTTCTCTACAACAGATATACCTGTTTAATCATCTATTCAAAATAAATGTGAAGAAAAATGCAACCTCCATAAAAAATGAAGAATATTATTTCTTAATCAATTTTCTCTACATGGGATGTAAACAAATCTAAATAAACTTTTATTATTTTCCTTCCCTTCCCAAGTCTTACTTGATACAGGCCTCCTTTACGGTGTCTTCGTTGACCGGGACCTGGACACCTTTCTCCCAGTCCTGTCTCCACGGATCAGCGATTAGGAAGTAGTCCTCCACATCCAGTTGTTCTGTGTCAGCCATCTTCATAGCACTAATCAGATCTTTACGGAATAACTGTCAAAGATGTTAATGTTTCAATATAAGAATTCAACTGGGTCATGATTTGGAAAAAAAAAATTCATATAATATGAATATCATACAATTATTGCTGTTTTTGAGGTCAGTACGATGATTAAGTTATCAACGGAATACAATATTCACAAAGTCCGAAGAGTTAGTGATTTTAGGGTTGCTAAATAACTGCACAAAAATAAAACAGAATTTACAATGCAAAAAAATAAATAGTGCACTAAACATAAAAAAATTAATTTGTACATGAACAAAGAATTCAGTGAACAATGTTTAACTTCTGCTGATGCAGTGTCATACAGTATACTGACAAAGTGTGACCTATACTTGTTTGGATTAGCTATTAAATTCCTTACCTCAGCTGGCTTGTTGTGGGATGATGCTGGACTTCTTAATCCACCTGAAAAAATCATTAGAGACTTTACTGATTACATTTAAGCAGCTGTCAGATTTTTTGTTCATATTGTATTGAGGCAAGTTTAAACCAAAGGGAGATAATCCATTCTTCCAGCGTGGATCTTAAATTTGCAATCGATATACTACAGTATATTTTTTTTTCTTTTCTGCATTATAGGTATTTTAATGTAGAAAATCTGTAAACAATACTGTGATGCTGTAAGCATGAGGATACATAATGCATTTATATACTGTAATCTGCATAAACTAGAATAAAATTAACTGCACAGGAATCCATCTTGGTTAGGTTGCTTACATTTTATATCAAACACATGCAAGTCAGGATTGGACAACATAAAATATTATGTGTGAAATTTTCTTAGAAAAGTGCTTGTTGTGTGAAAGTATATAAAGTCCTGTGTTAAAAAAACAAAAACAAAAAAACAAAACATTGTCAATATCATAGGAAGCCTTCTGACATTTCACATATAAAGCTCTGCAATATGTATTGTGCCACAATTTATTGTTTATACACCCTATTTTGCAATACAAGTCCTTAGACCTTAAAGCTAACTTTCCGTCTCTAAATTCAATTTCACTAGTATAATTTAACCAAAGTTTTCCCTTGGAAATATTTACCAATGTCCATGTCTTCTTCTTCTTGCTCTAGTCTTGGCCTCTTGTTTTTCTTTTCCATTTCTACAAAATTAATCAGAGTCTGGGTGAGAAAAATAAATTTTCATGATCACTCCTTCCCTGGGAAAATAATACTCAGCCCTATGATTTTTTATTGTCCCACAAAAATATTTCTTTTCTTCAAATAATGAATGTTATTTATTCACTGCAGAAACTACTATAATTTGCACTTTAGATTAAAGATACTATCAAACACATTTTCAATGGATTTTATCAAGCCAAGTCTCAGTGATTTATAAATGGGTTATGTAAATTAAAAAAATCCACATTGTACTGGTTTTTTTTTTTTAATCCTTACAACAGATTTAAAGTGGTATGATCTGTTAACTGTCAAGAATGAGTAAAGTATATCATATCTACTTATGTCATCTACTAATGAAAAATGATAGAGAGCTCGGATGCTTTCTTAGTTTCAGGCTTCTGGATAATTCTGGCTCCTCCAAAACGAAGAGCTCTGTTTCAGCATCAGCACTTAGCATTTCAGACAAACAGTTAACTAAGCAAGCATTTTAGTTGTCACCCCAGATAGGTGTATGATTGCACCAATTTATTTAATTTCAAAAATCAATTTTGATTCATTTATGATGAGTGGAAAAGTGCTTTATCTCATCCTGTATGGTTAAGTATCATCCAAATCGAATTTCTATTTCTCCGGCTAGTGAAAAAATATCACTGAAAAAAAAATTATTATTAAGGTTTTATTTCACTAGCATAACATGAAAATATATATTACATAAACATAGTTAGAAGAAATTCACGATGACAGCTAAGCAATTTTCATTCCCTGTTGTTTTGAAATATATTATGAACTTCATGGATACAACAAATTAAGTTTATAAGAAACCAATACTGCTCTTCCTAGGCACTTTGCTATAAGCATGTTTTACTGTAATCTTTTGACAATAGATATCTGTAGCTATCAATGGCCACAATCTATATTCCATTTTCTTTACTGTTAAGGCTGACAATGTATGGTTTACTCTTGTAGTGTTGTAATCTCCCATGAACTACATACCCTCTCCTTCCTCCCTGCATGGTCTTTTACTCTTGTTCGGTGGCATAATGAACAGATAAAAGGTAAAAACCTGAAGGAAAATAAAACAAATAATAAATATATATATATATATGCATGCCCAGGCATTGTCATAAGAGCTCGCATTGCGAACGGCACTTCGCATCACTTGCTATTGATAGTTTATGTTGGATACTGGTGATCTGTCTAAAACTAACCCTGGTTATGCCCAAATGTAGCCAAAAAGGCTTGCTTCAAGAAAAAATGTCGCACAAATCCAATTACATAAATGAGTACGATTAAAACCACATGGACCGTCAAGTATAATATATAAGATTTCCTTGGTTTTGCATTTTCAGGTGTTTCACTTACTTGCATTATTTTTTTTTCGGTCTGACAAAATTTGGTTTGGTCGTGTGTATTCGTTGAGAATACAGGACCAAATTCCTATGTGACCCAAAAAATTTTTCGCACGGACTGACTTTGTCACAGTTGTTAATAAATCAACGGATTTTATCAAGTCGGGGGCTTGTCCAATCTTAGTTAGAATAATCTAACTGTGTCTCGGGACAAGCCCTCACCACAGTTAGAATACGTCCCATATACTTGCAATGTAGCAAATCGGAGTGGATCCACTCCGAAATGATTTTGAAGAATACGAAAGGAGTTGCACTGCAAATAACTACCAAATTAATCATAACAAACCTTTTTGAGATTGTATATGCCTTATAACCTAAAAAATAATCCATATATATACGAAAATTCAACTCATTTTCTCAACGTTTTTTCCTCGCTTCAAATTTAACGCCATGTTGACATTCGGAACTCTCTGGATTGTTCATAGAAAATGCACAGAGTTCGAGTTATCGCCCGTGTTTATTTTGCTACATTGCGAATACACGGAACGAATTCTATCGTTAAACCGGGTCCGTAGGACAATATCATTTTAACGATAGAACGTTCTATCTAGTCCAATCTGTGATTAACACTGCAAAGTTGATTATTCATATGTGGTTGAAATATATTTGATTTGTTTGGTTTAAGAATATAATTTTACAAGCTTTGAATAATGTCAGTCATTAATCAAATTCAAACGGCTCTTTCATCACTGAGCTCGGGATGAACCCGACGAGGAAACTCGGGCTACTTCTATACATTTATATATATTTGACACACAGCTGTCAAAATCAATCAACAAAAAAATTTAATGACTTTTAGTCATAGACTGTACTTATTTAACATGTTTGCTCTTCTATTGTTTTTGCGTCATAATATGTTTCATATCTACGTAAATGCATCGACAAATCTTTAGCGCCATGTAAAATGGCGAGAGCGAGGTAAACAAATATTCACATGGTAGAAAAAAACACTTATTCTTTCACTTACCGACTGGAATGAATGAAGATTGTCGGAAACTTTGATGCTTCAGGTATTTTACTATAAATTTAATTGAAAGTATAAGGCTTTAAATCAAATCCAATCGATGACATTTCAACATCCACATAGGCTACATCTTTCGCGCTTTATCATGGCCGAAATACTTATAAATTGGGTCAACGAAATATCGCGAGATTTGGAAGTATCTTGGACGCGCTCGATTTCAAATACGCTGTTTACAACCATATCTAAGACGATAATGATACATTCACATACATGTACCATAGGACCACATTGTTTTAAACATTAAACCAGAGACATATAAATGTCTCTGATTAAACTTCTAAGCATTTTAACATAAAATGCCTAAAAAGAAATGTGGTTAATCCCATACCACCTTTTAACAAAAAGCAAGCATTTAAGGTCAAGATCTAGTAAATGAAAGGTGCCTACAGATTTCTCAAATTTATTAAAAATAAATTCCTTTAGTGATGCTTTATAACTTTAGCTTGGTCAAATAAGGTGTTTCGGGACATAATTTGTAGGTAAACAAGACGAAAAATCATATTTTAAACTGTCATTTTCAATAAAAAGAATTCAGAAAACCAGTCATGAATACAGGAGTTTTTTTTTTTCCATATCAGACAAAGGAAATGTATCCAGATTGCCTACAGTCTCTCTGAAAACGGTAATTTGTATGTTCTTGGCCTCTTCTTTAAAATAATATTAAATTGAAAATAGGTATCGGGATTACTTTTCACATGATTTCAAATTGAATTCCATGAAAATAATTTATTTTCTACATAATTATATTAAAGATATTTTAAAAAGTACGGGAAAAAGAAAGAAGAAATTGATTATGACGTCATAATGGATCTAGCACCAAACAGTTAGTCTAAAGTCATTTACTAGATCTTGACCTTAAAAGGAAATGCCACATTAAATTAAAGTAATTAAAAAACAAAACAAAACTGTGAGCTTCGCAAGCGTGCTCACGAAGCCAAAGGCGGATCCAGCGCCGCCGCGCCGGGCTTGCCCCCCCCCCCCCCGTTTGAATTTTTTTCTTTTGACATTTTGTTTGTATTATCCTAAAATCAAGGGAAAAACACCTTTTATTTGTTAGAATTCGTCAGTTTCCGAGGGCTTCGCCCCCGGACCCCCACCAAGGCTTTACCCTGTACCCGCTGGGGGCTTCAATGCAGCCCCCAGACCCCCCTGCCTTCTACTGCGCCCCGGCCCCCTTATGAAATTCCTGGATCCGGCGCTGGAAGCACTGGAGAATTAAGAACCCCTCCCCCTTGTGACCAAATATATACATATATAAGATTGATAACAATTTTTTGTTGTGGGATATTGCATTAATTATACATAAAGTACAGCTAAGCCCCCCAAAAATAAAACTGTTCCGTAAAACCCTAGTCTTGTCCCAAGATCTCTTGCACTTCGTTTTGGGGGTCCCCGATAACGGAGTACAAGGGATCAGGGGACGAAACTACGTAAAACCCGAGAGCTTCTAGGACTTTTGTCTTCTGGGCTCCCAACCCAGACCCCCACTGATTGGGCTCCTTTTCCAGAATACTAGATCCGCCACTGTTTTTTTTGTTTTGTTTTTTTTTTATTGCATTGCCTTATCAATAAAAATGCAGACTCCTGTGGGATTGTTGACCCAATCTTTTTTATTCATAAATTGGGGTGTAAAATACAGAAAGGAAATTAGACAGAGAGTGATTGCTTAATGAAGACATATATTTGCCTAAATTTAATATACATAGACTTAATTGAGGGGCGGGGGTCAGATGATGGTGTCGCAGACATTGAAAAATATTTTTTTTTTTTGTAGCACATCGACTATATAAAGAGGGTGTTGCAGTTCTTTTGTTACTTTCCTTTAAGGTGTAGCAGATAATACGTACAATAGTATTCTAATCAAGTAAAGTGAGAAAGCGAGGTACATTTTTTTTTAGATTACAACAATACCCAGAAAGTAGAATTATATTTGAAAACTTCATAACGATTTTATTATAATATCAATAAAAGAAATGCAAGGTCAAACAGCAAAATGTGACAAAGTTTAAACTTTTTAAACAGAGAATCCCTGTTGTTCTAAAACAAAAACAAAAAACAACACAGGCACGTAGTATCGATTTTGAAAGAAGGGGATGGGGGCAGTCAGGGGAATATTGTCCAAACTCGAAAATCCTAATTTGGGGGTAAGGGTTGGGTTCCAACTTCCTTCATAACCAAATTTTCCCCTGATTTGACTTTACTGCAACAAAAAGTGGATGGAACCAGCCTTTCAATGAACATTTCAAAAGTAAAAGGTTAAGTTTTGGAAAGGGGGGCAGCCCCCCCCCCTTCCCCGAGTCTACGTGCCTGTAACAAAAAAAATCTCCTTGAAAAAATGAATTTGATATGAATATTAAGAGCCATGAATTGAATCTTTTTTTATTTATTTTGGTATAAATATTGAATCAGAGTAGATCGTATGAAACTGTATATAGAGATTTTCGTTTCGTGTTATTTTCGACCTTTCACATTTACAAACACTTTTGCTCTCTTCTTTGAATTCGCCCCGTTTTAAATTCGCTCACTTGCGACGAGGGCGAAAAGGGGAAAAATAAAATGGGAGAAAATATTTTCCTGTATACAGTATTTGTAATCTCCCATCTTCAGCGGCAAAACCTTTTATTCTACTTTTTTTTAATGGTTCCTTTAAGGACAGTATCACAGAAACCACCAAACATTTCATGAATTTTTCAGAAATAATATTAATTAGTACCACTATTTTCACAAATCTTAAGAGGTTATAACATTTTTCTCCGTTGGCACTTCTCAATCTGGTCGAGATTTATGGACAACATCCATTTTGAATTGACATTTCGTACATTTTCCACGCACCCATTCCAAGGCCAGTATAATTATCTATTTTCAAAATCTGAGAATCTCTTCACAGAATTGAATGTCGTCGCAACAGAGGGAGCTTTTAAATATACAGAAATAAGTAATAAGCAGTGATTTTATTAAAAAAGATAATAATTCATTATCAATAACGATACCTATAAATACATGTACATATCATTTGAAACACAATTGAAATAGTTCTTTATACAATAAATCACACAATTCTTGTCCTCTTTCATTCATGCACGCAATATATATGTAGATCTAAAATTCTGAAAACATGCAATTCAAATGTGAAAAATACACACACCCCAGTATTTAGAGATGCTATCTCCAGCAGTTTTTATTGAAGGGTTATATTGTCAAGATTTACTTAAGTGACAAGTCATGGCTACACTGGGATGCAAAGCTTTCACAGAATTGCCTGCGAAGGCAATTATCTATGTCTGTGTAATGAGGTAAAGACTTGGCCGAACTGCATACATGATAATATTATAGCATATTACCGTAATCATAAATCCAGTCATAAAAATTGTTTAATCAAAAGCATTTCCTGTGAACAATTCCGGGCCCACACTCCTCGTACTCCTGTTTGGTGATCCACATTTGTTGGAAGGTGGAGAGAGAACCCAGGATTGATCCACCTATCCAAACTGAGTATTTCCGCTCAGGCGCGGCATTGATCTTAACTTTTGCTGAACTTGGTGAAATGGCTGTTAGCTCCTTGGCCAGTCTGTCTTTTATACCCGGAAACATGGTGGATCCCCCGGAAAGAACAATGTTACTATACATGTCTCTCCGGATGTCGATGTCACATCCCATAATAGAGTTATGGATTTGTTCATGAATACCACCACACTCTAGACCTGTAAAGATATATCAAAATAATGATAAGTTTACGTTGATATTTTATTTAAAAGATCGAAACATATTATTAGAAAATAAAATCTCTTAACAAAAATTTTCTGCAAGGTTTTCTCGATTTCTGAGAACATGAAGCTCACCTGAAAACGATGGTTGGAACAATACTTCCGGGCATCGGAAGCGTTCGTTTCCAATGGTGATAACTTGTCCGTCCGGAAGTTCGAACGATTTTTCCAGGGCGGATGATTGTGATGAGGCACAGAGCTCTTGTTCGAAATCCATAGCCACGTAACAGAGATTCTCTTTGATGTCACGAACGATTTCCTGTTCAGCTATAATTGATATGAAAATACAATGTAAATTATAAAATTTTCAGTAATGAAAGATTTAAAGAATGTTAATTTTGGAAAACAAAGGAGTTTTAAATCATATATATAGTTAAATTCTCACCCGAGTTAACGAAGTTGTATCCACGTTCATGAAGTATTCTTTGTAAATATTTGGTCAGATCTCTACCGGCCAAATCAACCCGCTTTATTGCATGGGGGAGAGCGTATCCTGTAAAAATGATTTGATAATGTAGTTCTGTTATAAGTAAAAGAAAAAAATTAAATTTTTGCTGTAAATTTTCGATGTTTAATGTATAATCTTACCTTCGTATATTGGAACTATATGGGAGACTCCATCACCCGAATCGAACACGATCCCGGTAGTTTTTCCAGAGCCATACAGAGATAGGACTGCTTGGATACTAACGTAAAACCCTGGGACATTGAATGTCTCAAACATTATCTAAAAAAATCGAAATTTTCAGTTAATTGATACATGTATTTTAAATTTAGAAGTTCTGATTTTCGTGAGTAAATTACACGCATCTTTCCGTCAAGTGGTAGCTACCTAATAAATTTCATGACATTTATTTAAAAAAAAAAATCATAAAAAGAGATTAAGTCACCTGGGTCATTCTCTCGCGGTTGATTTTGGGGTTGAGTGGCGCTTCGGTTAATACTACCGGGTGCTCCTCGGGTGCCACCCGCAGCTCGTTGTAGAAAGTGTGGTGCCAGATCTTCTCCATGTCGTCCCAGTTTGTGACGATTCCGTGTTCCACAGGATAATTCAGAGACAAAACCCCTCTATGGTTCTGGGCCTCGTCTCCAATGTAACAATCTTTACCGCCCATTCCCGCCATTACAATCTGTTATCATAAATTTACAATTTTCTTGTACTTACTTATTTTCTACTGGGTTAATGTATTTAAGAATAAATCAGTAATTAAATTCATTTTGATTTATAATATTTTATGATTTTTCAGAGTCTTACATCATATCTGGGTCGTCCAGTGATGGCGGGAAAAACAGCCCTCGGGGCGTCATCCCCAGCAAAGCCCGCCT